TTCCTAAGGTTGTAGAATAGTTTGCTCTGCATTTCTCAGACAGATGCTTTGAGGACACATTGCTTTCCTGAATATTTTTATGTTAAACTTCACACCCTCAAATTTTATTGTTTGACTGTCTTCCTTCCCTTTAGGAACCAAACTGACACCATAGAAGTGTTGCTTTCTTCAGGCCTCAGCTTTCTCATCTCATCATAAAAATCACATAAACTGGGGGCTCTTAACCTGGTGGACCACGGAGCTCTCTGGTGGACTCAAGTGTGACTCTCTTGAAACTTGATGCAAATTATGTAGGCTGGCCTTGAGTTCCTGGTGACCTCAGACTCTCAAAGGTTCTGCAATCCAGAAGGTACAAGTCACTGAAGTAGGTGATTTTCAAAGATTCTTTTTAATTCAGAAGTTCTATGAGGCACTCTTACCAACTGTAGGGACTCAAAATCCAAGGCTAGATGCCAGTCCAAAACCAGGGCTTCTATCTTGGGGAAGAACTCGGTAAATATTTGGTGATGCCAGTGAAAGATTTCTACCACGATCTTCCCCTTCACGTTCCTCATTGACAGGTCTAAACTTCCTTGGCCCAAACTATGTGCCCCAAACCCAAATCCAGTAACTTCATTGGTGATTCTTAACTCTAAAGCATTTTGTATGTATGTTTTTGTCGAATTAATTAAGCTGTCCCTTAAATAATAAAAGGGAAAACTTTCCCTTTTTGATTGAGAAGGTCTGCAGGTCTATAATAAATGCCATTCTTGGTATTTGTTCTTTTTTTCCTTTCCACTGAAATGCACACAGATTTTTAGCTAATCAAGAATAACAAGGTAAAAAGAACTTCAGTTTTCTTGTCTGAATGTTTTGTTTACAGACTGGGAAGCTGCAAGAGAAGGGAAGTGACTCACCCAGAGACACACAACAGTGATGCAGAGCTGAGCTAGAACAAGGCATCCTGTCAGCACGGTGCTCTTCCCGCTCAACCTCAGTTTCCCCTAGGTACCCGCCCACCTGACTCACCCCTCCTGCTGTTCAGAGAGTATACACCTAAAAACATGAGTGATGGGCCCTGTGTGATGTCAGCTTGAGAGGCTACAAAGGAGTGGAGAGTCAAACCCTTTCGTGGAGAAATGGCGAGGAGCACAGGACAGGTGACGAAGGAGAAGGGAAGCAGCAAAGCGGGACTTAGGACCAAAAAGGTAAGTTTGACAACAGAGTCACAAGGTCACGTGACAGTGAGGAAACTGATTAGACACACTGTCAGGAGGTGCTGATGAACATTCACCATGGTGCCAGCGAGCCCCTCCAGGCTCTGCTCCAGCCTCTTCTCCACACCACCCCTTCCTGCCCACCTGCAGACACCCTATAGGTGTCACCACAACCAGTAGCTCACCATTCCCTGTACCCCCTTTCACATCCCCGCCCCTGTACTGTGGCTGGGCTATTTGTTTACCTTGAATGCCAGCCTCTTACTGTTCACCTATAATAAAATTCCCTGTTTTGTTTTGTTTTAAGATTTTATTTATTTATTTTTTTAGAGAGAGGGGAATGGAGGGAGAAAATGAAGGAGAGAAACATCAATGTGCAAGAGAAATATCCATTGGCTGCCTCTCGCGTGCCCCCAACTGGGGACCTGGCCTGCAACCTAGGTAGGTGTGGGACGCTGTCTGGCATCTGGCTGGGAATTGAACCTATGACTTTTCGGTTCACAGGCCAGCACTCAATCCAGCGAGCCACACCAGCTAGGGCAAAACTCCTTGTTTTTTAAACCCCAGGTCAAATACACTTTTCTTATGAAGTCTTTCCAGATGGCGCCTTCTCCCTCCTGTTGCTTATTATTTCTCCCCATCCTGAACTTTCAGAGTGAGCTGTTTGTGACTCTCCTCCTCTGTCTGCATTATAATTATTTGTGAACATGTCATTTCCCCAATGGAGAGCATACACTCCTTTAGTTGGGGTCAGTCATTTTTTAAATCTTTTCTTTCACTCAACAAATATTCATTGAGCGCCTTCCATGTCAGGTATCCACCTGGGGGGATCTCTCACTTTGGGCCGCTAACACTCACTGCGGCATGGACAAGCAAAGGGACAGATACCCGAGAGCTGAAGAAGTGTCCCCATAGGTGAGGTGCAGAGGGCTGGGGAAGCAAAGTCAGAGCACTTAATCCAGCCTCGCAGGGGTGGGAGGACGTCGTCCTCTGAGAGGAGAAGTGTAGGGCAGGTGGCAATTACCCCGGGCAAACAGCATGGGAGGCTTTGGAAGGTAAGGCTGGCTGGCTAGCTGAACAGCCCATCACATGGTGCTTCGGAGCCCGTGAATGAGAGGCTCTCCTGAGAGCAGCAGGAAGAGGCCCTGATACCGCTCACCCTTCTGTATCTCTTACAGCACGGAGCAGTGCCTGGAACGTCCTTGATGCTTGAATGGGAGAGTGAATGATCACAACCTCTCAGAATGTCTGCTATTTTAAGGTTCTCAGGGAAAATTCCCTCTGGCTGGATACTCAACCTAGCTTCCCAACAACTAAAATAAGTATGAACTTTTGGTTCAGCTCCCCACAGCAAGTGGCCAGCAGTTTTCCTGATAACACAAACTGGCCTGGAATGCATTTATCTACATAAGTGACTCAGCCTGAGGTCACATCATCCTGATGGGCCACCAAAGAACAGTTGTCATTTAAGTCCTCTCCATCTTTAGCTCTGTTACCCAAAGAGGGTCTCAAGAGGCAGGAAGCTTCTTTTGAAGGACCCCATCTCCTGAGTTGAGGGATCCTATTCCCAGGCACAGGAGGGGAAAGTGAAGGGGACAGGAAGGGAAGTGTGTGGGCGGGAGCCCCTTTCTCACAACCCTTTACCTGTCAACAGGGAGCAAGGCCTGGGCCCATGGCCTGGGCACCCGCATGGAGAAGGGGCTTATGCTGGAAGAGCAGGAGAAAGGGAGGGGACTGGAAGGGGTACACGTGGGGTCTCGGAGGCCCACCAAGAAAGGAAAAACCATTTCCAACAAGCCTGGCTTTCTGTGCTGCCAGCTCCTCCTCTCCTACCCTTCCTAGGAAGCGAGAAGTGCATACCCCTAAGCGCCGCGCCCCCCACCCCACCCCCGAGCTCCGGCACCACGCACACTTCCTGTACACACTGGGTCCTGGAATCAGGTCGTTATGACTCACTGCTGACAATAACAAGGTCTCCGGCCACCACATACTCACTTGGAATGTTTACAGAATTGTTCCTGTGTCAGGGACATTTAATTCTTTTCCATGAGCCACTTCACCACATCTCCCCAGTGAACCATTCTTCCCTTAACTGGACACACCCTCTTCTTCCTCGTGGAACTCACATTCCAGGAGTACCTACCAGGCAAAGCCTTCCCCAGGTATTACTGTTTCCCTTGGCCCCACACTCGGAGCTGCAGCAACAATCCCTTTGTGGAGCCTCTCCCCCATCAGGCACCACACCTCCTCATTTGATCCTTACAACTACCCTTTGAGGGAGGGACTGCCCTGCACAGAAGAAAACTGGCTGGGGAGGTTAAGTGGCTTGCTAGCCAGAGGCTAAGCCTGATTAGTTACCACTGCCCCACACCTTCCTTCCTTGCAGCAAGCGATCCCCCTCTCCCAGTTGTTAGGCTGGAGCTGGAGGTCCTGCCTTGTCTGTGTTTCAGGCCTTTGTGGGCTCCAGGCACCCTCTCTCACTGCAGTCTGACGCCCCACTGTGCCCGCCACTCAGAGGAACTTAGGCTCCTCAAGGGCAGGGACGCAATGATCCCTGTAGCCTCCCCAGAGGCTGGTGTCTACAAGTCCTGAATAAATATTTGTTGAGTGAATAAATGAAACTTTAAAGGGAAACTGGGATTGTGGGTCTGAGACCAGGCATAGTCTATGGTGGGCACTGTACACAGTAGACAATACATGGTTTGGAGAGACATCCTCAAGGATTCCATCTGGTTCTAAAGATATTCTAGAATGTTCTTAGTTCCAGAAGCAGCTCTAGATCACTCAGGATGGCTAGTTTCCATTTGCAAAGTGCTGGCCCTGCTCCGCTCCCAGCCCTTGTGCTTAGTACTTCTCACACGTCACTCCATGGGATCCGCTCAACCACTCTGTGAGGTAGGTGCTATCATGTCCATTTTAGAAACGGGGAAACTGAGGCTCAGAAAGGGGGAGTGACTGCCAAGTCCCTAGACATTAGGAGGTAAGCAGGCATTCAAACCTAGCTCCTCTGGAGAAGGTAGCCAAAGTCTTTGACTTTTGAGGTATTGAACAGCCTAGCAAAATTAGATTCATGATCTAATTGTCAAGCTCATCTCCCCTCCCCAACCCCGAATTTTTCAACTCCCAAAACACTCTGGGTTCACCTTGGTCCAAACTGTAAAGTCTTCGTAGCTGACTCAGGGAGAAGATGGAATATTCACCTAAAAACCTGGCATGCCCACTCCAGGACCCCATACCTGTGAAGGTCCCAGTGCCGGGCCTGCACGCTCCTCCCAGAACCAAGACACACTGGCTCCTCAGTGAGCGAAGGCCCTGTGCACCCACACGGACACGAGACAGGACAAAGACCTGACGGAGCGGAGCCGGGCACAGCGCCACGGGCCATGGCAACAGAGTGTCTCACACAAAATCAAACCACACTGAGCCAAACCGAAGCTTGGTGCTCTCAGCCGTGTTAGTCCGAGCAAACTGAAATGATCTACAAAGCATGAATGGGGCGTGAGGAAGGCCTTCCTTCCTTCTCAGGGGCTTTTGCAGCAGGCGAGGGAGTACCCAAAGTGGGAGTAGCTTTCGAATCACCTCAAGATGCCAAAGCAGAGCCTGTCTTTAGCCTCTGACTTTCCCCAGGCCCGACACCTTAATCGAGGACCCCTCTGTTCCCTCCTGGGTGGTATTTCTGCTCCCAAGACAAGCAAGTGGGTCTCACTGGCATCCACAAGGCCTCTGTCGATGGACCGTGGGTGAGACCTCTGGCCCACCCTGCCACCTGAGACGCCAAGGCACACACGTCATGCTGCAGCCTACCTGGCTCACACCAGTCCGAGCAGCCTTCCACTCAGCCTGCTCGCCACCTTTACGCGGCTCTGTCTGCTCAGCCTCCCTTCCCGGAAAAGGGCTACCCAGGGGCTTGCTGGGCTGGCTCTCCTCTGGGCTGTGGAGGTCTGAGAGTCTCTGTTCGGTGCTCAGGCACCTGACCACGTCTGATGGTTTCAAGCAGCTCTTCTTAGAGATCTTGGGTCCACCAGGGTACCTCTCACCTGCCTCCTTCTCTGCTTTCCTCTCATACTGTCTGCTTTCTTCTCGCCACGGCTGCCACTTACCCTGGCTGTTAAAGGCATTGCTAAGCTCCGAGATGACACTATCAGAGCTCCCAAGCAGCGGCTGGGAGTAGCTGTCCTGCTGGAAACCTGAAGGTGGCACGTGGATGCCACTGTCACCGTTGATGTGAAGGGAGGCCTGGGCACCTGGTGCCATGGAATAGGCTTTGTGGGGGGCAGGAAGGGCCAGTGGGGAAACCATCGAGCGTGGGGTGGGACGATCTGACCAACTCGAAAGGGGGAGGCTGAAGGACAGGGAGGGACTAGGCCTTGCCAACGAGGCAAGGTGGTCAGTGTGATAGACAGAAGCCTCCGGCAGAGGAGGCAGAGGCGGCGTCAGAGCCAGGGATCGCCTGCCTGGGACCCCCACAGTCAGCGAGATCCACTCAGAGGTGACAGCTTGCATCTCAGGGGACAGAGCTCGGTGGGAGTGAGGCAGAGATGAGGGGGCTGGTATGATGAGCTTGCTGTGACTGGGAAACTTAAAAAGAGAAAGGAAAACAAAAGAAAGAAGCAGAAGGTATAGAGTCAGCATAGAGAAGAGAGGAAGGGAATAATCACAGGGATATGAGGAGAGGGGTGAAATGGAGACGAGCGGGACTCTCTGGCGTCCCAGAAGGAAACTGCTTGGGCTGGAGAGAAACTGGGGTGTGGGTGTGGGTGTGTGTGACTGTGTGCAGGCGGGGGTGGATGGAAGAAGCAAGTGGGAAGGGAGGAAGGGTCCCGGTCCCCTCAGGGCAGCCACACATGGCGCCGGCCTGGTTCGCAGAACCGGACTTTCAAAGGGACACACTGGAAGCTCCCCACCCTGTCCCACCCGACCACCTCCACACCCAAAGCCCTGACCCAGAACCGAGAGGAAAAAACGATGGCCTGCCACTGCCCTGGCCTTCCCTTGGGCTTTTACTCTCTTCCAGAGAGGAGTATGAGCAGCATAGTCGGTTTGTTTGGTAGTCTTGATTGGCTACGGTCAGACAAAGAATCTAGTTGAGTTCCCCACACTGCAAAGCAGAATACCCTGCACCAGCCTCATACCCTGACCCCATAAGACATGGACCTTGGTGGTCAGGAAGCCTGCCAATACCCATCTCCCAGGTCAGCAGTGGGAGGTTGGAGGAGGAGAAAATGATGTGAGGATGAGAGAAAAGAGGCCCCATCCGGCTGTCATGCTGGGTCCCTGGCCCTGCTCTCCATCCTCTGGCCATCCTCCCTACAACTTACAATGGCAGAGTGGCCGGGCTCTTCGACGGGAGTCACCCTACCAGGCCTCTCCTGAGTCCAAGGTCCTCATTTTCTCTTGGCTTTGGGAAAGTGGGGATGGGTTTGGAGTAACTTATATTTAAAACAAATTTGCTCATAATTAACGTTCAGGAAAGCAAACATTTTATGATAATCGTTCTTTCTTTCAGCCCAGTGTAGACAGAGATGCTATCAGTTACATTTTCAACCTGGTTTCTGCTTGCAAAGGATACTCTGGGTCTTCATTTTCTGCAGGCCCAGCCTGACCAACAAGGTGAGTAAGAGAACCGTATGGGGCCATGGTATGTCTGGTACAGCAGTGGTACCCCGACCACCAGTTCACTGGGTACTCCCAGTACAGGGTTTTGGACACACTGATAAAGGCTCCTACTTCTCTTTCCCTGGTCATCTTATCCCCAGAGCAATCACCTTAAGCTCTTCCTTTTCCCCTGAGATAATACTTCTCCAGCCAAGTATGTGAAAAATGCCATTTGTATGCATAAAAACAGACCTTGGTGTGTACACTCTGAGTTGCTGAGGGTGGTTCTTGATCACAGTGCTGAAGAACCACCCACAAGAGGCATGCGCCGTGAGCACTGTGGGTCTGTCACGGTGACTACGAAAACCAGTGACGAGAAGCTTAGGTACCTGTGGGCTCGCGGTGGTGCTACGGCTTGGGGAGGAGGAGTAAGGCAGGTCAATGTAATCCACTGGGTTTTTCACCAGTGGCCTTTTGATCACATCAACATAGGTGATGGGGAAGATGCCTTGCCGAGATGTTCCTGGGATCCTCCCTTCGTACCAGTTCTCGTCCACCTGTCGAAGCAGCGTGATCCTCTCACCCTGTAAGACACAGCAAGGCACAGGTCCTTGTCCCACCAGGCCTCAGCACACCTGAGGCCCTGCCTGCACACTGTGCCGTCCTGCTGGTTCATTACATTGTATGCTCCAAAAACCTTCCTAGACCTGGAAAGAATGAATTTCACTGGGAAGGAGATACTAACAGAAGTAAGGCTACCTAGATGCTGGGGAGTTAAGCTTGGTTGTGAAATATTTCAGTAAAGGAGAAGGTCAGATTCATTCCCCTGAGCTAGCTGGCAAGTGTAGTGTTTTTGGCTCACTGAGTACAAAACAGACATGCAAACTTCTCGAAGGCAAAAGTTTTAGGGGGAGGAGTTTCCTTTTTTCTTCATTTTTGTAACTTTATTTTTTTCCTGTACCATTATAGAAAAATTAAAACATAAGTAAACATAAAGCAGAGATGATCATTACCCATACTATTATCACTCGGGGTTAACTATTAATATTTTGATATATGTATTCCCAGATTGAATTCTACACATGTGAATTAGACTTGCACATATTTTTTCTTATAAAAATTGAGTATGCATTGTATTTCCCTTTCAACTTGCTTTTTTATTCTTAACAACATACAGTGAGCCTCATTCTTTATCAAGAAATGTAATTCTACATTCTGAACAGTGTTGCCCAGCTTAACGGACCAGTGTGGACACCCTCTCGTGTGCGCGCGCGCGCACACACACACACACTGACTCAATCATTGGTCTCCTGGTGTTGGGCAGCTGGGCTGCTTCCAGGGTCTGTCTCTTCTATAAGGGACTCACCTTTATCTAAGGCATGGGCTTGCTTCCCTCAATCCTCAAGAAAAAGTAGTAACTTCATTAACTTTGGCAAGCCAGAGAATGTGACAGGTAGAGAGTGTCTGAATTCCTGGGAAGAACAGTGTCCCTGCACCGCTCACTTGTGTTCAGAATAAGCACGCTGAGCTCCGCAGAGGCAGTAATAAGTGAGAGTAACACTGGCGCCTCCTGTCAGCTGAGCACCGACTGGATGCCGCATGTCATGCTGGGAGCTTCACCTCTGTGGTTTCATTTAATCCTCTTACAACAGCTCTCTGAGAGTCACTTAGCTTCAAATTATATATGAAGAAATGATGGCTCGGAAAAATGATTTAAGTCCCTAAAAGCCACACAGTTGATAAACTGTGACTTTTGACTTCAGAGTTTTTCAAACTTCTCCTGGTGTCAAGAAACTTGGTTTTCTCAACAAGGCCATACCACTGTAATGTAAAACCTAGTCACTTCTACAGTGCTTGCCACATCGTGGGTGCTCAATAAATGCTGACTGATACAGTTTACAAAAGGGGTCTCAGATTCCAGAAATACTGCTTCTACTCAATGAACTCAACGTAGCTAAACTCTGACACTAGCCTAGGGCTTATTTTTAAAATACCTCACCTCAGAAAATTCTCCAGTTGTCCTCCCTGCTACCCTTGACTGGAGGCATCTTCAAGGTGTTACTGAAGTGCCACACTGCCGTGAGGTCAGTGCCACCTACTATGGCCCCGAAGCACAGGATGAGCGGGTGGCTTACCTTTCTGAAGGACATTTCTACTTGTGTATCACCATTAAAGTTAAACTTAGCAATAGCTTCTCCATATTCCAAAATCTGCACCGGTGGCAACTTTTTGGGCTGAGCCTTCTCCGCGGGAGGAAGAAGCTGAGGAAGGGAAAGAGGTAAAAGAGAAGAAAGTGGGGACATGGGAAAAAAGGAGGAAACAAAACACAAGGTCTCGGTAAATAAATGGTGCTTTGGGCACCACCGGGCTTTTCCCCGAGAAAAAGAAGGAGCTGCGGTACCTCGATGTAGGTGCGCGGGAAGATGCCCACCCGGCCGTGGTGCTCTCCTTCGTACCAGTTCTGATCAATCTGCTTATAAATGTAAACAATGTCTCCCTTTTGCAGAGGAAGCTCCCTGTCAACAGAGGGTCATGCATGTTAGCAGATGTTCCAATATGTGTAAGATTAAGAATCGTAGTTCTTCACTGAGAAGAGACCTTGAGTGGGGTCAAGAGGACTACAGTACACAACAGTGGGCTCCATATTTGGGCATAAGAACCCTACTAGATGGAAAATTACATCACACTGGCATTATTCCAATCTTTTGTAGGAGGGATGTCAATTTTCAGACGGACTGGCACTTGAAAATGCTCAGAAGCCTATTTGTTGTGGTTTTTTCATGTCTTTTTTGTGAATGCTGTTCTATGCTCAGAATGTTTATCTAACACACAGCAATACACTCAACAGTCTTAACTGATGTTCGCTAAATGATGACATGTTTTCTTCTAGATACTTTCACAACCTCCACTACTTTAAATTACCATCACAGTATTTCTCATATGCTAATATCCTCTACTATTCTGTCCATTTAGCCACCCACCCACCCATTTCACCACCTGTCATTGTGTAGTAGAAAGGCTCTAAAATTAGGCAGATCTGGCTTCAAAAGCCAGTCATACCATCTACTAGCTCCGGAACGCTGGGCAAAAACATTAATATCTCTGAGATACTTTATTAAAATAGGAGTTAACTCAAAGTTGTTGGAGAATTCAGCAACAAACTACAAATAAAACACCCAGCACAGTGCCTGTCATATGGTTAACACTTGTAAATTCTCTTCCTTTTCACCATAAAGGGATCTTGGAAAGAAAAGTAGATTTTTAAATGTTCTTCATGCTTTTTCCAACGTTTCCATGTCCATCCCTTTGTTTGCTTAATAATGATGATGTTAACTTCTAATCTGGACTCCTTTTTTAAGGATAAAAAGGAAACACAAAGAAAACTTATACACAAAATGAGAACTTAAAAGGAGAACAAAAATTGTAACTTGAAATTTTCTTGAATAAAAGAAAAATAACCTAGATCTTTTCCATTTGTGCCTGGAAAGAAAGGTCTCTGATTGCAATTTGGGGGCATTGTGCCTGCTTTGCAGTGTGCCAGAAGTCCCACGGTATGGAGATGCTGGCTAAACAATGGGGCCACATCTGGAAAACTTTACACAAAGTCAGCACTGTGCTGAATGAAAGAACAAGGCAGCCTTTGTGAGTCTCACATTGGTGGGCAGGCTTCTAATACTAAAGAGGCCCGTGAAGGGATCCGGGGCATTTGTCTCTGAAAGAAGGAATGTCTTTGGCCAAATTTTTACCAGAGCCCTCCTTGGTAGTGTTCTAAAATCACCCCTCCCTCTACACTCCACCATGGACACACGATGAGCAAGGCCCTCAGCATCTCCACCCGTGCTGGAGGTCTGCAGGCTCCAATGCTGCTCCCCTACGTGACTTGTACTTTTGCAGGCAGGTGGGCACCTAATGCTCCCACCATAAAGACAGATGAGAAGAGCCCTCAAGAGGGGGAGGTGTGATTCATGGTCAAAGGAGATGCACCCTGGGGTGCTCAGGACTGCCATCCTTTCCTGCACTGTGGACCACACCCTGATCTCCCAACGAACCACATGATGAGGCCCAGTGGTAACAAGTTAGCAGAGTAGAGGCTCAGAGAAGTTCCATGGGAAAGAATCTGTTGGACTGAGTGTTTCCACAGAACACTTGTTTGAGTAATATACTATGGGGAAAAAAAAATAGAACCCAGTGACTGAAGATATTTAAAAAACTCTGCCATTTGCTCTTTTTAAAAAGTTTGATGAAAGCACTGAGTCAGGAGCAAGCAGCCCTCTCTCCAGCACTGGCCATGTTGCTAAGTGGTGACAAGTCCAGTCTACCTCAGCTTTCTCACTGTTCTATTTGACAGGGTTGCTCTAAAGAAAAAAATGTTTTAACACTTTTAAAAATGAAGTCTAGCTAAATGCAATATTATCAATACAGCACCATTCGATGAATATTACATGGACCTTTCTCACTTGAAATAAAAAGGGAGAAGAGAAGGCATCTACTTGATTAAACTAAAAATTAATCTATAAATCTTTGTTATCCTCTCTGGTTAAAAAAAAGGGGGTACTAACTTGCTACATTGTGCAAAATGTTTTATAGGTATATTACCCTGGCTGCTCTGCCAAGCATTAAGAGGCATTTTTATGCCCATTTTACAGATGAGAAAATTTGAGGTAGGGAGGTGGGTGACTTGCCCATGGTCACAGAGACAGTAAGTGGCAGAGTCGGGACCATAAAGCCCACAGTCTTTTTGGCACATGATGCCACCACCTCTTGTTAGCTGATAGACTAAAGGACTAGAGCAATTACATACCCAAGGGCACCAGGTTTGTGCCCAGGTTCTGGAAACCATGGCCTGGTTTTGTGCTGGGAGAGATCACAGCCAAGCAGCCTCCACACAGCAGTTCCCGGTTTCTGAGGGCGGGAAGCACTCCCCCTCATCACCAGGCAAGACAACGGAACGGCTGCTGGCCATTGCTGCCAATGAAAACTCACTGCCCATTTTAATCCATGCTTAAAAAATTCATTCCGTTTAATCCTTTTGGACCCCTGTCTTTGATAGCATTCCCCAAATTTCATTCCATGGGGAATATAAAGGTTTATTGGTCATTTAAATGTAGGTGACACTGGGTTAAATAAGCTACTTGGGTTTCTTTCTTCATTGAAAGACTTCTAGAGCCAGTAATATGCTAGTAGCAACGCATCTGCTCAAGGGTGCGTGGGAGGTATAGCCATGGTAAGCAGTGGTCCCAGACTCACTTCTATGACGGAAGACTCTTTTTGAGAAATATTTTACAGAGAAACATACTTAGAGAAACGTTGGTCTCCTGTGGGTTCCTACAAGCCTCTAACTTCTCAGGATATTGTAGCAAAACTGGTCAAGTTATCTTCCTAGAGACTGACTCTGGTTCTTTCCATGGAAAGGGTGGGTTGGATTGAGCCACCACTTAATCAAGCAAACTGAATCTCGATGTAAGAGAGGGCAGGATGGCGAAGTGGGAACAGCCCAGGCTCTGACACAAGGCTGCCTGGGTTTGAATCCTGACTCCATCACTGATCAGCTTGGACAAGTTCCTTAACTTTGCAGTTCCTCAGTTTCCCCATTTACACAAAGGGAAAATAGTAGTACCGACCTCAGAGGGTCACAGTGTAACCTATGCAACACCGCAATACAGTGTAAAGCCCTTTGAACAGTGCTCGGCACATGATAAACCCCATAAATCACTGATCATTATTCCTTCTCCAACTCTTCTCTATAAGTGAACTTCTGTGTTTCAAAGAGGCAGTTAAAATGGCACTTACTTTAGTGTCTGAGCTTTAAAGTCAAATTTGGCTCTGGCAGGTCTCATCTAAATACAAGAAACAATGTCAAGTTAAAAATCACAATTCATGTACAATGGAAAGGACACATTTTCACAAGTTTCCAGAAAGCAAAGCAGAAAAATTCAGTCTAACCAGTTCATTCTGGCGTACACATCTGGGCCAATTCCACTGTCTGACTCTAGCAGAACACTAGGTGGATGTTTGGTCAACTATGTCATGCATGAGACTCTCCCTGAGGAGGGCCAGATCTGGGGAAGAGATGGTTACGATAGTCCCAAAGTTCCAGTGCTATAGTTTCCCATAGCTGACCATGGCTATTAAAAAACAAAACGGGAGTCAGCCAAAAGTCTTACTGTTGAGGAATTATCACTGTCTTACTCTTACGTTTTTCATTCGCCTGACTTAAATTACGATCTGCAAGTGGATGAAAAACCATGATTCATCTTCAACTCCATACGTTTCTCGTGATCTGTGAGCTCATCCAAAAAGCCAGATAAAGTGAACCCTGAGCTCATTCTTTCCCCAAGGCTTCCCTTCCTATAGGGGAGCCCTCTCCTTCCAGAACTCCAGGCCTGGCCATTGCCCTCGGCTCCAGGCTTCCCTTCTTCATCGAGTCTGTCATTCAGTCACGCCAACCTTCCCTCACCATCCATCCCTCTACAGCCCTGCTCAGGTCTGGCCTCTAGTTCACAGGCACAAAGCTTCCTTTGACTTCACTGCTCGTCACACTAATCTACCGTCACTCAGGAGCACAAATAACATTCCTCAAATACTTCCATCACATCACTTCCTTGCTTTGAAGTTGGCTGAGGCTCTCAACCGTCTCTCAGATCAAATTTCAATTACTGAGGTGGGTTAAGGCCTTTGGGTAATTTCTTCCAACTCATACCTAACAGCCTTTATCTCTTATTACACTCTTCCTCTTCCCCTCAGGCAAGTCTGTTTGCTACACCTCAGTCTAAACTCCCTTCTCTGTCTGGAATTTCTTCATTTCCAGTTCTGGCCAAAAAAACAAAAACAAAAAAACAAAAAAACACAACAAGTTCACCTTACTCACTTACTTACATGTATTTGCAGATCTTTCTCCCCTACCATTAAAAGTAGTTATTTTAGGTTGGGGGGGAGGGAGGCAGAAAACTGTAATTGAAAAACAACTAAAAAGTTGTAACAAAAAAGTAGTTATTTTAATTAACTTTTTATTTTAAAGAAGGGTAGGGGGGAGAAATCATGTGACCAAGCTGTTTATAGCTGCCAATATAATTCTGACCCCATGACTTTCTGGTCTAGGGAAACGACGTGATGAAAACTACACCACACACTTCCCCTTCAATATTAGAGGCAGGGCCCAAGTAGAAGGGGAAAATGGGAGACCCCAGGTGAGAGAAAAAATGGTATTTAGAAACCTCATCAGGTTTAGTTTTAGATCCTAATCCCTCAGTGATATGCACCAAGTGACCAGGAATCCTCAAGGTGGGGTCTTGTAGGGATCTTCTTAAGGGCCATGAATTCTTCATGGAATTTTTTATTTTATTTTCTTTTTGCATTTTCACACTGATATTTCCATCCCTCTACCCACACACACACACATATTAGAGGTCAACTGAACGATGACCTTATAACCAATGCCACACAATTTCAGTGCCTGCATGTGTCCGTCTGCAACCTAAGAGCATAATGTATCAGTTGTAGACGAACACAAGGATGGATGTGGGGTTAGAGAAAAACGACAAGTTCACAAGAGAAGGCCAAATGACCAAAACTGTAAGGACAAACTTCATAGTGACTCCAATAAATTGGTGGTCACCCCATGACAGCTGTAGAGCTGTGTGAACTTTAAAAATTTGTACCCAAACAGCACCATATTCACACGAGGAGTGGCAATTGAGTTCAGGAAAAATGATATGACCTATCAATTAAATTAATAAAGCTGTATAGGTGTGTACTTTACCATTTAAGTTGCAAATTGGCTTAGGCTAATACTGGGGGTTGGTGAAATTTCTTTTCTCATTAAAGGGAATTTATATATTACTCAAAGTTGAGAAACACTAATCCCCTTGATCTCAAGATATATTACCTGAGTTGTCATTGCTTGCACAAAGCATCGGCTCCCTCTTTATCTTCCTGTGTCTCCCTGAGGACGGACCCACCTGGCTCCCACAGCACTGTATTACTCACCACAACAGAGAGAACTGGGTGTCTCTTCCGTTACAGTACCAGTTCACCAAGGGCGTCATCTGAGTCTAGCTTCTGCCTCCCCACAGGGTCTTGCACAGAACTAGCGTGGGCCAAAGTCTACTTAATGAAGTCTACTGAAGTATGTCCACATAGCCCGGTGCCCCTGGGACTTGTTGGTGTCTATTTTCTCATGTCTGTTGGTCAACACCTAAGGCAGTGATTTTCAAAGTGTGGTCCCTAAACTGGTATCCCCAACATCACCTGGGAAGTGGTTCGAAATGCACATTCTCAGGCCCTATCCAGAACTGGAAGCTTATTTAACAAGCCCAGACGGGATACTGATACACTCAAGTCTGAGAATCACAGCTCTAGATGAGAGGCAGAGCGGGTAAGGCAGTTTGCTGGCCTCTGTCAGTGGTTACTCTACTTCAGTTGCATTTTCATTCATATGCATTGCCCACATGTGTGAGTTTGCAGGCCTAGGGTGCCTTTGTGTGTTCCTGTATTCCCCATCACTTGCAAGCAGGCAGGCCTGGGAATGAGGGCCAACCATCCTCAGAGCCTTCAGAACAGGGGCGGGTACGATGAGGCCTGAGGGGCTGTCCTTCCCTGGTTACTGATTCACACTTGAGACCTTCTGCCTCTTCCTCATGACATTTTCTTTCCCTGCATCACTTTAGAGTCTCCTTCCCCTCCCTAGCTTTCCTTATTCGACCGTGGCTTCTTCTTCCCAGACAAGAATTTGACAACTGGCCAGTGTTGCCTCTGTCACTCAAAAAGACAATAAAATGAATATTAATCTACTATTATATTGAAAGATTATAAAACTGTACACATACTTTGGGTGTCACTCATTTCCATACTGCCCAAGCCCCGGACACACATGTTCCTAAAAGGAGCTAACCTTCAGCAGGGTCACTGAGGGGTCACATAGCAGCCTTTGGCCAGCACAGGGATTGCGACACGCTGACCTCAGTGTAGGAGGCCAGGCCTGAAGAAAATCACTTCAAGGGTTTGTGCTTCTTTGTTTGCTTTATAATATTAAGTTTCATAATCTCAGCTGAGAAATGTTAAAATTAAGGGAACCGAAGAAATGTCTCTCAAAGAACGCTCACCATAGCTTACCCTAACTGCAACATTCTTTGGGTTTCAAAATTCATCAGCGAGGGTTAGGCACTACCAAACACTTTATTCATTAATTCATTGTAAAAGACTGAGAGGCAGTATTGTTCTCTGACAGTTCAATATTAATGTCACTAAATTTTGAGGACAGTGTAAATAATGCATCGCTAGCTAACTTTCGTAACATAATTTCTTTCAACCATCTCTCCAAAGAATCTTGTCACAGTCCGCACCAGAGCTACTAATGCACGTGGACTAAGGAAAAAGGATTCTAGGCAGAATGCACAGGCAACACAGTATCATGATGAAATGCAGAATGTGGAGGACTGGACGCATGAAGGCAGCCGATGCTCTAGGCATGCATAGGGGTGTTGCCAGCAGACCCGGTCCCACAGCCAGGCATGCTTGAACATACAGAGCGCAGGACATGATGGGACTCATGTCCACTGACCAGCCACAGAGAGCCAAAGCAAGCCTAAGGGAAGCCAGGATGATAGATGCTGTGTGGAGGGCTAATTTGGCCTACAGAGGGGAGGCAAATATGGCTTTGGGTCAAGCAGCAGATCGAGGCGACCAAAACAGACCTCTGACCCAGATTTCCTTTTTGCCGTATCGTCTATATTGAGGAGGTCCCCAAAGCGCTCATTAGTGATAAACTGGTGGTGCGTTGGAATGACACCCGTGTGGCGCCGAGCTGCAATATCGGCCTCTTCTTGCTCACGCTTAAGTCGTCTCTGGTCCGCTAAAAGTTTCTGCCATGAAATCGCATAAAATGGGCAGTGAATCATCTGATCCAGGGCATCGAAAAACTACCAACAAAAGCTACTATGGAAAAGGTGCTGGGTCAACAGGGAGGAAAGGGTTAGATGTTTCAGGGGCTTTACGGCCACAACTACCACGTCCTGCTATAACCACCCCTCCGTGCCACTCCACGCGGGGAGGAGATAGCCCTGCACAGGAGAAGCCTGGGGAACACTGGGGCACAGGCACGGATGAATTCCAGAGTTACACTGTTTGCAACCCATCCCTCTGCTCAGTCCAAAGCCTCCTGCTTCCTTATACATGGGTGGCAAAGGCCAGGTGACCCAGGGGTAAATCCAGGGCATTCATAAGCACGCTGGGCTGAGGGCAGGAGGCTGGAACCACTGTCTTTACCTCACTTAAACAGTGGTGAGTTCCCCCAGAGTGTCCCCATGCGCGACTAGGGCTGGCTGACTCCTCTGCCCACATCAGGCCTATTAAACCTGCTATGGGCTTTTATTCTGTGGGGGCTATGGCAAATGGGTCATTTTTGTGCTTCCTATGTCTGTTACTCTAATACACTTGACAGAGTGGAGCTGCCCATTTCAGAAAATATGGTACCCCTTCTCCTAGAACAGCCAATCTTTTTTCTGGATACAATTTTTAGGAGGTCTTAGCACAAGGCTAGGTATGTGACTGACAGAGAGCATCAGTTACTTCCCTGCTACATTTGAAAAAAAAAAAGATTTAATTTTTTTATTTTTACACAGAGGGGAAGGGAGAAAGAGAGGGAGAGAAACATCAATGTGTGGTTGCCTCTCACCTGCCCCCTACTGGGGATCTGGCCCACAACCCAGGCATGTGCCCTGACTGGGAATCAAACTGCGTCCCTTTAGTTCACAGGCCAGCACTCATTCCACTGAGCCACACCAGCCAGGGCTCCTGCTACACTTTTAAATGTAACTATTTCTTCATTAGGTGAAATTAAGCTGAGTTTAAGTGAATGATGTAGAATATAAATATAGAAGATAAACTAAAAAGAATGGTCCTTGGGTTTTGAAGAAATATCCTCTCCCAAATTAAGGAAATAAGTCATCTACTTCCATTTTTAAAGTTCTTTTAAAATAATTAAACAATGATGTATTTTACCAAATGTTGCATTTCCTCATTGCCTATTGAAATGGCCCTATGGAATAGAATTTTAATGTTTTCTTATTCCATACCAAACATACATTCTTAAGATTAAAATTTTTATATGAAAAGTATTAACTATAATGGGTAATTCTTACATTCTTAATAAAACATTAGTCTTTTTCCAGCAGGTAATTAAATGCCTCAAGTGACAGTCCCAAAAAACAGTGGGACCCATTTTCCTCTTTTTTCAGGGTCTACAAATAATAAAGTAATAATTCATCAAATGGCTGTAGGATTTCCAGTGCTCAGCTACATTGCTGTAACAATTACAGAAGAAAAGACATAAAGTGTTTTGTAAAGCACAATGGAGCCTGGTTTCTAGCTTGGCCTCTTAACTCGGTACAAGTTAACGTGGTGTGTGGCCCTGGGCAAGGCACTGCCCTGTTGGAGGAAACAAGGGGACTGACTAGATGACTACTAATGTCTCTTCCAGGACCAACACACTATCTTTTCCTGAAATACGATTACCATCCATGTTAATAACACAGCAGTTGCATAGAACAATGCCAGGACTGACACCCCACTAGCTGGGAAGTGTATTTTTTTTTTTGTATCAGTGGGAATGGACCAATGCTTGAGGCCATACCTCTGGTGCTCTGGAGAGGTTACATAAACCCAGTGAAAGTGGACGGGGAATGGAGTAAAGCTCCCAAACCAGTGCTTGAAGCTGATCTCAGTAAACCCATCCTTCCTGTAGTTTAACCGCATAAGCCAAAACCATGGATAAAGACATGAAGTTTTTAAGGGTCTTTGAGCCAGTGTTATTCAGGAAAAAAGATGCTCCCTTTCTGATTGTACCTCTTAACAGATCAGTAGCTATGCTTAGTAAAACAGGCCTCTTGTATAGTCAGCAGAATTCTATCACAAAACCTTCCATGGTGGGCACTACGGTTCACACTAGTAATCTGGAATGTTGTCTTCCAGCATAGCAGTCTGGGCTTGTGCAGGTGGGAACCTGGTACCTCAGGGATGGTGACTCAGAATGAATCTGCTCTGTGGCCTTATGAGCACTCACTGTCCATGAGTTTTTCACCTCGTTATTACACATAATTCTGTACATCAATCCTCCCACTCTTTTCTTCCCCGGGACCCGTGCAAGTGCCTTACTGAACAGTGTCTGCGGTGCCTGGAGAGGGGAGAGTTGTGGTCTTTCCTGGCCTTTGTCTCACCACCTGGCAGTGATGATCATCTAGCTCTCCTCAAAGTTGGCCTTACTCTAAATCCTTAAGGAAAACCCACCGAAACTCTGAAACCACTCAACGAAACAGAACAACATAGGGCTTCAGACTTTATAGGGAAAGGAAGAGTGTGTAGACATGAACACCCTCTCCCTCAGGCTACCTCTTCAAAGCAATTCTTCCATCTCTTAATTCATTACAGGAAAATGGGCATCGTAGCTTGTCTAATCTATTAGACCCTTTCTCCTGGGACTGCAGCACCTAGAAAACATGTCTCACGTCAACACTGTATTATAGCAGAAGCTCATGATTTTGTCCATTTAGCTGATACATAGAATGACCTTGTCCTAAATCCCCAAATGCATTACTTTTCCAGCCCACTGCAGTATAAGACATGTCGGTAGCTGTAAGGAAATGGCTGCATCCTGAAGTTCTTGGTGGGCATTCACCAACATTTACTGGGGCGTCTCTCTTCTTCTAAGTTAAAGGCAACTTCACATTGTTTCATAATGACCATTCGACCATGGTCATTATTATTTTCCAGTTTCCTTTTTCTCCTTCTGCATCCTTCCCAATGTGAACTGTGCTTTGTGGTGGGCAGTATAGGAGAGTGTGTGGGTGGATTTCCCTAGAGAATAATCAGGCAGGGGGTGGGGGAGGGATGAAAGAGCAAAGAGCAATCCGGGGTGCGTAACCTCTTGCTGAACCTCCTGTGCAGCAGTACTGGCTCGACACAACATTGAGAACCCAGCGCCTTGGGACCATCACTCCCACTTTTGGGAAGAGTGGAACAAAAGGGGAGTGATTAAGCCTATGTCACATACAAAGTTACTTCTGACATTGCCAGTTGCTAGGCCACATCACCTGTCTGACAGGCATCTATAACGTTTCCTTCCTTCATATGTTTACGTGTGTGAGGGCCAAGAGATATTAGAGATGGCACTTACCTCTTTATCATCATGACGTCTTCGAATGAATTCTTCTGTGGATTCCAAGTAATCAGCGGGTATAAAATGTCTTGGTGATTCTGAATCTTCAAAACAACAAAGTAGAATTAAAACAGGCAAAGATTTAGTGGGAAACCAGACTGGGAAAAGATTTCACCTTTCATCCCTTCTAAATTTCAGGTTTTTACAATTGTTGAGACCAATGATCAACAATCAAATTCTGAAGGAAAACAAAACAAAACAAGTTCTCCCCACGTTTTGGACTTACTTGTGAACTAGCATAATACAAAGAAAACTCATTAGAAGGCAAAAGGTAAGCAGAGAGGACCTCTGAAAACTGTCCCTGCCAAGAGGCGTGCAGGATCTCACAGGGACACACTGTACACTCACACGCACACACAGGGCCACTGAGAGAGGCTGCCCCTCAAAAAACCACGGGGTGAGTTGGGGTTGGTGCAAACTGCAAGGGGCTCAGAGGTTCAAATGAGCAAATTTCTCAGATGAGCTAAACGGCCAATTTTTCTTTCGAAACAGAGTTTGGTGGTTAGTCTAAATGACATGGGGGCTTTGTTTTTAAAGAAGTGCAGCCACTACGAGCCATGGTTAATTGCCAAGCAAAACAAACAGAAAACAAAGGGTGGACCAGAAAATGAGCACCAAGAGCACACGGGAGGAGGGGACAGAGCAAGCAAGGTGGAGAGACAGGTGAGGTGAGACTGGGCAAATACACAAAATGCCACCTCCGAGGGATGGTCCCAGTTCACTCTGTGGGTTGTTGTTTCTGTCCAGACCGCGGTCTGAGTGCGGCACAGAGTTCCCATTACTAAAGGCCCTGGGGCAGTCCTCGGGGACCATGGGTCTCTCCTGAGGGGGCTCTGAGATCCGCCTCAGCCTGGCCATGGTGTGTCTCGAAGACAAGCGTTTGGGGACCGAGGGCTTCCCCCTGGAGCGGGGCTCATCCTGATGGGGCTGACTGGGGAGGTCTGGTTTCCGGCCCAGCGGTGGGCCTGAGAAGTCTCCAGGGGAAGGTTGTCTAGAGTGGTGCTGGAGGGGCTTTTTCAACCGAAAGGGGAGGGGGCTCATCAGGTAGATGTTCCTGAGGAGCGTGCTCCTGTCCCCTCTGGGATCCAGGCGCCAGTCGGGCTGTCTGGAGGTCTGCTGCTGCTCATGCTTCCGGATGGTGGTGAAGCGGGTGTATGAGGCCGGGCAGGTGCCCTTGCACTTGTTGACGTGGTGTTTGGGGAAGTCCCCATGAATGCTGCCACTGCTGCCCTCTCTGCTGTCACTGGAGACGTTTGAGCAGTGATCGAGCTCGTCAGAGCACATGGAGAGGGGCTCCACAGGTGCCAGACCCCTGAAGCCCAAGGTGGGGTCCACCATATTGCTGCATGTTGGGGAGACGTAGACCCCTCCAGGGTTCATCCCACCCATCTCCCTGGGCCGGAGCTTGGTTGACTCCAGGAGGGACTCAGCAGAGCGGGCCGAGGTCAGGCCACTCCGGGAGAGCACAGGCGTGGGAGACTTGCTCAGCCTGCCGGACAGGTCCAGGGACGGCATGGACCTCGACCTCTGAATCAGCTGCTCAAAAGCCGTGATGCGAGAGGAGACAGTGTGCTTGGGGATGTGCTCTGGGCCCTCCTGGCTGGGGCCTAGCTCACCCCTGGCCAAGGCCAGGCTGCTCCTTTCAAAGTGGGAAGCAAGATCGCGCACGCTAGAGGAGGAGGTGGATCCCAGGAAGAGGCCAGCTCGGTTGATCTGGTGCATGTCCCGGTAGAGCATGGAGAACTGCATCCCAGCCTTTCTCGAGAGAGGGCAGGGCCTCCTGGCGCTGGTGCCATACTCCTGCAGGCTCATGGTGCTGCTGGACTTGCTGTCGTAATCCCGCCGGGAGCGCATGAGCAGGTTCTCAATGCTTCCCCCGACCTGGAGGGGGAGCCCTCTTTTGGAATCATTCAAAGAAACTGAAGTGCAAAGGTTCTCACAGCTCTGAGCCTTTTCTGATGGCAACAGGACACTCTTCTGTTCCTGCAAAAGAGCGCTGGGAGCAGAGAGCCTGGGTTTGAACTTGGAGGGAAGGATTTCCGAAATGCAGGCTTTTGCAGCGGACAGGGGTTTCTTGTGCTTACACACAGGGCCTAATGCATTGCTAGTGTTAACCGTTCGGCTATGAACTGAAGATGAAGAAATCATGTGAGCATTCCCACCTTTACGATCCACTGGAAAGCATGCAGAATAAAATAAACAGACCCATTAGGTTAAAGCTGAAAGCTGCTAAAAAAACAAAAAAAAGGAAAGGTAACATGCTCATTTGTAATAGGATTCTTTTTATTAAAAAATTTCCAGTTGATGTCCAGAAGCAAAATAATCTATGCTGCAAAGCAGGTGCAAAGATGCAACGAAAAAATGGCCACCTTGCTAGAGTCAGGAAGGGCTAAAGCTCAGCTAATTTCTAAGAAAAGGGAATCAGAACAAAAAAATAAGAGAGAGAGAGAGAGAGATGTTTCAGAGAGAGCAAGGTTGGGGTTTACAGGAAGGGAAACTATTAACACCAGAAAGAAAAATGGCCGGTGAGAAACTAGCGGAAGGGACATAAGAAGGCTCGAAAGCCTGGAAGTGGACCTGAACAAGGCAGAAGTTATCCCAGTAGCTGGAGGTTCACCCACTGCCAACACCCCGATAACAGTGTGGCTAGGAGGCACCCCGATTATGGTAGACAGACGAGAGGCCTGAGGCTTCACTCAGTTACCTTTGGTGGAGGCCGAGCTGGAGGGTCGCTTGAGCCCACTGAGGCCCTGGAGAGGGATGTCTCCACCTTCCAAGACGCTTTTATAAATCTGCCTCTCGTTCTCCAAGCTCCCGAGGTCCCCGGGAGCCCCATCTGATTCCCTCTTCACTGCGTGGAAGTTGGAAGAATATATACTAAGAACAATGTAATTTTAAAGGAAAGAGGGAAGAGGGAAAAAAAAAAGAACAGATGTTAGTATTTTTAACATTTTTCTAAAATGCACATTTCCAGCTAAGGATAAGAAAGACACTTTCTAGCTAATCAAGCACCACCCTTTCTAAAGGACATTTTTATTTAGACATGGAGCTAGACAGACAAGGCTGGCCCAGGGTGCCCTTAAATGCTCAGGAATCATTTCCAAACAGCAAATGTGCCCTGACTGAGATGACTGCGCTTGTGCTTTCAAAGAATAACTGAGAAATGCTGCTGGGGGAGTGAGGGCAGGAGATGAGACTAGGAGGGGGGTGGGGGAGGAGGAGGGGTGCAGGGTTGGGCGGGGATGGTGGGGGGAGTGTGCCCAGGGGCTGCACACAAGATGGGGCAGTCAAGGGCATAAGGGGGGCCTCCAACATGTCGCCAGCCAGTGTTGGTGACTTCAAGTCCATCACTTGGATTATTTTTCTCAGCTACTTTTCTTCGGCTGATGGAGCATTAAAATCAACCACGAAAAGAGGAAACCCAGCTGTCCTGAGTCTCCAGGAAAATCAGCCACCAAGTGAAAAAGGAACCTGGGATTCTCTGTGCTTTTATTATGCTAGCCACATTTTGCACCCACGTCTTTCAAAATGTATATTCAGAACGTGATGACACGTATATCCTTCTTTCACTGATCTACCTTTCATTTATTTTTATCTCGTTGAAGTTCCAGGTATTTTTGCAAGTTACCACAAATCCTTTTTGGAATGAGGTGGGGCACAGAAAAAATTAAGAGCACGTATTCAATGAACCCCGCCCTTCCCCTAACCCGTTTTCTGTGCCCTCACGTACAGCCACCCTGACACAGGGACACACAGTCACTCAGACAGGGGAAGGGCTCTTCCGCGCAAAAGCACTCAGGCTTCTGCGAGCCTGCTTCTCAAGGCTACTGAATTCAGTTTGCTGGGATCAATATAGATTTCTCAGCTCCAAAGATGTCAACAGCTTAGTGGAATTTCCTCGTCCCCATGTTTTATCATGAATATTATCAAGTGCATAGAAAATGCGAAAGGAGTTAAAATAGAGAACTCCCACACGTTCCCCCACACTGTTCTACAAGGCACACTGGGCTGCGTCTGCTTTATCGCACATCTGCCCATCTCCGTCCCTTCACCCATCAATCACAGTGGGACTATTTTTACAGCTCATGCAGCCTCTGGGGCCCCATGGGCACAGATAATGATGGCAACAGCAACTCTACACACCACCGGGTGGGATGTCCTATGTGGGGAGCACTGTGCAAAGTGCCTGACGATCACGTTCTCTCTAACCCTCACAAGCAAACCTACTTTTTCCATTTTCAGATGAGGAGCCCCTCTGACACTGGGGCCCAGGTCTACGCAGGCGTGGCTCGGCGGAGCAGCGGGGCTACAACCCGAGCCGTGGCTCCGAGCGCCGCCCAGAGTGGACGCTCAGCCGCTGTTTTACAGAGCGTTTCCCGGTAGCTGTGGAGGCTCGTACAGCATAGCACCTGGGGCCTCAGGACCCTCCAGCTCCACGTATATCATAACCCGTCACCAATGGATGTCTGGGACAAGCGGCTGCAGAACCCAGGAGTTGGAAACAGAAAAGAGATGAAGACTCTGGTAAAACAGGCAGTGTCTCCACCTCAGGGAGGTGAAGTTCGCCTGGACCACACCACTGGTTTTAAAGGCCTTGCGTGCCCTAGTCAGGGGGTTACCCAGGCGGCTAGGGTTCCCCTGGTCCCTCCCCCTTCTCTCAGGCCTAGGTCAGGTGACCAGATGCTTTCCCCCTTTCCTCAGCCAAGACAGAGTACTGGGAATCTAAGAGAGAAGAAAACCAACCCCCAAAGATGAAAACATAAAAGCAGGCGGATGAAGTGTGTCTATAGAGCAGCCTCCAGGGTGCGTCTCAGAGAGGAGAAACCTCCCGGCCGGCCAGGAGGGGGCGTCTCCCTCCTCAGGCTGTGCCCTGATTTTTAAGAGCCCACTTGACTACGGGGTCTACGAGGACACTCAGTAAATATTTGTTGAAGGAGTGAAAGGTCACATTTTCTGAAAGTCAAACTCACACACATTATCTGATTAAGGCTGTGTTTTGATTTGTGGAATTATGTATTTAGAAACTCTTCCACACACATATAAGAACTGTGCCATGTTTACTGAGGGCTCTGAGCTCCTGAGGTCAGTGGCCACAGAGTCATCAGAACAGCGGGGAGAAGAGGACTGCAGGGACTCGGGGTGGCCCAGACCCAGGTTGGCCGTCCTTCCTGGTGTCCAGGCCCCTGCCTGGGTGGCCTATTCCTACCTCTAGAGACAAAAAGCCTTGGCTCTCCCAGGCTTGGAGGCCAGGCCTAGGGACAAGGCCCGCCACCCACATAGCTTAGGGCTCTCCTGCTTCTGCCTGCAGGGACATTCGTAGATGTCCCCAGTTCTGACTGACAAAAGCCATCAATTCTAGTTAGGGGGCTGGAGGATCCCTAACAGTGACTTGCAAGATTGTGGCACTCCATGGCAGTTTAAATAAATGTAAGCTCATCTAAACTGGCTTTCCTTAGAACTTGCTAATTAAAAATAAATCTTTCTCTTCCCTACACGGGCCTTCCACAGTCCACCCTCTTCTTTTTGGTTGCGTTTTCTGGTCTTGTCCTTCAGCTTGACCTCGTGTTTCTCCTTCTTGTACATCCCAACCACAAAAAGATCCGTGTGTGGATGTGTTTTAGTCTTCCGACCAACAGCTGTAATGACTGAGGGTGCTTTTGTGAGGGGGGAGTCTCCAAAGCCCTGGTTTGGGGAGACCAGACCTCACTCAGCACTGAGTGACTCTGACAGTGGCTTCTGTCCTGCTGTCCTTTCAACTGCCTCAGCCTCGGGCAGGACATCCAACCAGTCTGCCCTGGCTCCTCCTAATTTCTCGGCCATAATTCGGCTGCTGACCTCACCTCCTCTCCCTCCTCAGCTGTCAGAACTCACCCCCCCCAACAGCCCCCCCCCCACTTTCTGGCTTTATTCCACCCATTATCACCATTTTTTTCCTGCTTCCCCACCAGAACGACAAACTAGCCCTCAGGAAGCCTCTCAGATTGGATTTGCTATGGCCAATTGTTTTCTTTCTGATACCAAAGCCAACATGCTTTTTCCAGATGTGGGGCACTTTGCAACTTGTTTAAAAACACTATCTAAAAGGCCTGGTACAGTGTTTTGTTTGTTTGTTTTACAATAAATGTATCCTTTTCATTGGCTCTCCTAATCAGAAAGGCAGACATCCACTGCACCAAAGGGGGAAACTGAGGACCAGAGTGGAGAAGGCATTTGTCATTGGTCACAGAGCTGTTGGGTGTTTGGTGTGTTCAAATAGATCAGAGAGGATGAGATAAGTGGCCTCAGGCCGACTTGAGAAAGACACTGATTACTTAACAGAACATGTCAAGTTCAGAAGCTCAGCTCTCAGCAGCTCTGGCTGAGGAAGAGCAAGCCAGGAGGAGACAGGGAAGAGAACTTACCCCCTGGCCAAGATGCAGAGCTGGCTGCGGAGTTTCAAGGGGATTCAACAAAAACACACTCACTCGAAGAATCAAGTGAGAGAACAGAGCAATCATTTTAGGGCCAAATGTTCCCAGTTGTGCTGACTGGAGGCTCTGGAAGAGGCGGGCAGGGTCCTGGCAGCTGGGATTCCAGCCAGACTCCAACAAGGAATGCGGGTCAGCCGAGGCAAAGCTGCTCCTTTTAAAGACTGGGAATCAGTCGGTTTCTCTCAGCCTCCACTCCCTTCATCTGCAAAACCACTAGGTGTTGGGAGATTGTCCTAAATGTTCACCTTCCAACCTGTTATCTATGGAGACCTTTCTGCTGGGCTCTAGACACATACATTTAACTGCCTTCTAGGCAGCTCCACTTCGATGTTCCTCAGGCATCTTAAACCCGACATGTCCCAAACCAAACCCAGCTCTGTTCCCCCACCTCCCATCTCCCAAGCCAGAAAGCCCAGAAAATCAATCCCCTCCTCCCCATCCTTGCTCCCCAAACCTAGTCAATCACTAAGTCCTGCTTACCCCCTGTCCTTGACACACCTCACCTTAACCCTTCCTCCCCCGCCTCCTGGTCACCACCTCACCCACTCACCCACGCCCACACCTCTTCAGTAAGCACTCCCCTCAGGCCCCCCCGGTCTCCAGCCCTGTTTCCTGCCGACCATTTACGCAAACCGCTGCCAGTGACGGTTCTAGAAACTAGCTGACTGCATCATTCCATGGCTCATTTTACTCATTTAACAAGCATTTATTGAGCACCTACTACATGTCAAACACTCTCCTGGGTGGAGAATCAACAACGGACAAACCAAAGGAATTCCAGCGTCATGGAATTTACTGTTCAAAACCATTGGTGTTTTCAGGAAGAAACTAAAAAGCAATTGTGGCTATGGGCGGGGGGTGGGGGTGCTCTAGGCAATCTGGAGAGTGCAGCTGCATTGTCTAACCTTTTGTACCACATGAAAAAAAGTTTCTTTTTCTACTTGTAATCAAGTAGAAAATATCATGTTGTTGTTATTCATGTTTTATTTGCTGCTCCTCTATAAAGCCCACCTTTCCTCCTCCACAAAACAGAGGCGCTCATTCCCCCTGGGGTCCCACCATCAGCGGTGCAGCTCTTGATTCTGACCGTTATTTACAAGTCGGTCTCCCCACTACATTCGAATTTTTCCCTTGGGGTCAGGAAGTTTATCTGAGTAATCTGTGTGTGACTGGTGCCTAGCCCCGTTGTTCAGTAAATACCAGTAGAATAAAGGATTCCATGAAATTAAATGTCTACATGCACATAGATTTATGACATATTTTTAAGCCTTGGGAAGTTTCTAATGTTTCATCAAGTTCTTCAAGTAATGAGTTGTGTTTTGAGCTTCAGTTAGATTAAAGGGAAAAGTGTTTTTTTCTAGTGTACAGTTACCACTTAGGAAAATAGTGGCTTCTTGGGTGCCACCTGCTGGCCACATAGAGTAAAGCTCTTTGGTTAGGCAAAACATGTATTAGTGCTGATCAATACTAAGTAATGGTGAAAATGAGTAGGCTGCACTGTTGATTTGCAGGCCTGGTTAACACTACAGAAGTAAAACATTGGACATATACTGTGATCACAACTATAAAAATGTATTATTTGAGAGGAAGGACTGGTAGTTATATTAGGACATTAGGACAAAGGGTGAATTTCCTCCTTGCTGTTCCCACATTCTTCTGATAGTCATTCACAATCCCTCTTTCTTCAGTCCTTAGGTTACATCAAATCTCACCAGTGCTCTTTTCTACGGTTCATTCCTGTCTGAGAGAAAGGGGCCAGATTCAGTCCACAAGTTGCCTGCCTGGGTGCTGAGCAAGTTGGATTCTAGTTAATTAGACCTGTAGATGCCTTCATTTATCCAGCAAACGTTATCGTGCACTTCCCGATGTGTCAGGCACAGCACTCAAGCTGGCTCCTCACCAATTCCAAATGCAGAAAAAACTCATTCGAACAAACTGGGAGAAAACCAAGCTCGAATTACTGATAAATCCCCAAATGGTAGAACAGCAGGAGGAAAAAATATCTCCTCTATTCCTGCCAAATATTTCACGTGAGCTAAGCTAAGGCTGAAAAAACAGAGCCCTTTGGGACCTGTTTCGATTGCGTAAACAAGAGTGCTTGGTCAATTAAAACATCAAATACCTTCATGTGCACAAATACTTAGTCTGACTGCAATTTGCTCTTTTAAGCAGCATGCCTTAGTCCCCCTCTATCCTGCCAACACAATGGCATGAATAGTGGCCTAAATTGCCTTTTTTTCAGTCACTCAAAAGACAATCAATTGCAGCCTGCTTTGTGTTAATTTATTACGCAATTTTGAATCAGTACAGTGCAGATGAGAGAGTACTGCTGACACCAGTCCCCTGCCCGAGAAGTTCGGGGGGGCTGGTCTGATAGGATTAGGACAGTTCTGACACACACCCCCTGTGGCACCTTGGGCATTGCACTGCCTACTTCCTCACGCCTCCAATGAGGATTAAAAATAACGTCTGATTCTGGAATGTGGAGAGGACTAAGTGGGGTGAATCACATAACCAGCTAAGCATAGGGCCTGGGACCCAGTGAATGCTGAATAAATCATTAAAGTCACCACTTCATTCAAGAGCTGTGTGCCTGACTCTGACAGCCCAGGGACATCGCTTTCTTTGCTTTTAATCCATATAGTCTACTTCAATCACTTGCTACTTTGCCTTCTTATTTACTAGCATTCATTTTGTGTGTGTGTTTTACACGCCCCCCCCCAAACTGTTAAACAACTATTTCATATGTTCCTATTATAATACCTAGCATAGTGCCTCAGATCCAGCAGAGCTAAGGAATTCAATGAGCTGGCCACCTGCAACCGGTGCATTTTTTGTCCTGGGCATTTCAGGGAGATGGGGGTGAGGAGGCAGAGGGGAGAGACCAGGCAGCAGGACTAATTTGATACAATCCTGGAAATGCCAGGCACTGGGCAGTCAGGACCGAAAAAGTGTCAAGCTTTGTCACTGACAAACAGGTGACCTCAAGGACCAGGGAGAGTTTGCTTGGAGCCTTGGGTTGAAGAAGCCCTTTATCTACAGACAGCCTAAGGTCGTCTGGTGGGCTTTGCCCCTGACAGCACATCTCTGGGACCTTAGAAGGCCTGTGACCTGTCATCCTTGGAGCTGAGGGCATAGTTCAACTAGCTCCTTAACACAGAGTAAGCCTCAGAGCCCCAAGTCAGGGGAGAAGGGGGCAGTCCTGATGATACAGCTGAACTTCAGTTCTCTCTGTCGTACTTCATTCAAGAGCTGTGTGCCTGACTCTGACAGCCCATGGGCATCACTTTCTTTGCTTTTAATCCGTATAGTCTGCTTCAATAATGTGGTGCAGCCTGAGCACCAACCCCACAGTGAGTGCAGAGACTTTACACTCGACCTTCTCCAGATGGAACCATCCTTTCCAATAGAAGCTGTCCCCCTAGCCGCTGTCCTAACACATCATCTCGACTACATCTGACACTCTGGGGTACATTGATCAAAATCATTAATAAACATATTTATAGAAGAAATACTCACAGAATAGATCTGGTTAGGGATTTGGTCACTACCCTAAAAGGCTCAAGGTGTTTTCCCAATTTTCCAGTGAACTCCTCCAGTCCCAGCTGATTGACATTCCAATGAAACTACTCTTGCAAAATGCTCAAGTGACCACAAAGTTTGCCACAAATCCACATCAACTCAGCACCAGGTCAAGTCAGGCTTCCATCTGAGCAGGTGAATTTTGCTCAGTGTGGATCTGCCCAACCCAAATGAGCAGGTAATAGTTGTGCCTCCCTTCCTGCTGCACTTTGAAGAATAAGCCACAGATGCAATGGCGGTAAGATGAGGAGCTGCTCCGACCACAGCAAACTCCCAGATCCGTGGGGTGCACCAGGCATGGTGGAGATGCAGTCCTTGTCCTCAGGAGTTTATGATTTATTAGCAGTTATAAAAACACAGAAACATAATCCAGGGACACAACAAAAGTCGGTGTCACAAGAGGTATTAACATGAGATTGGGTACAGACAGGCTCAGTTAGGGTCTCCTTGGACAAGCTAAAATGCTTGTCATTTACCGTGTGTGCAGGGTGGGGCAGGCAGCACTGAACCACTTTCAGCTGGGGCAGCAGCTGTGTGGCAAAGCTCTGAGACAGAATCTGGTAGAGAATGCGGGGGGTTAGGGGGTAGTTTGGGGGATGATGTGGAGGAAAGGATGCAGGATGGTTTCGGGAAGGTTGCCCTGTGAAAACGTGAGGTGTGCGCACGCCACCCAGGGGGAATCCTGAGAACTGGTATGGGGAAGTAAAGCCACATCTCTGAGAGTCAGACCAGCGAGCCCCCTCGGCCCCTCCTGTCCCTGTGACAGGTCCTTACACATTCACCCGCCTCCTCCCCACAAGAATCAGCAAATGAGGTAAACTTTGATCCTAAACTCAGGCTGATACACTCACATTCTAAAGGTCAAGATGACAACTCAGGAAAACCTGTCAAAGTTAACATGAAACATCACAAAATTAATTTGGAAGAAGAGGAGAACACAGAAGAAAAAAATCGAAGACCAGAATTGAATTGCTACTTATCACCAAATCATGCACCATTCAAAGCCACTGCACTGCTTCAAATACAACACACTTGGGTCCAACACACCGGCTCCTTCCCGTTTCTGACATCTCACACATTCGGTCACGATCATGTAAACAAAATGGCAACTTACTATCCAGGAGGCTCTGAAGAAATTTCCGGAGTGGGGCTGACTGCTGAGCTCTGTAAATGTCAAAAAAAAGAGAGAGAGAGAGAACATGATTTATTTTGACTCCGATGTTTCAAGCCAAGGGGAGAAAGAGAAGTCCCTTCTCTTTGCTAACTTAGACAGGGACCCCTGGGAGAAGGGGAGCCCGGCAAGAAGGGACTCAGTGCTGGTGGGGGTGGTGCCTTTTCCTTGGGAGGAGGCTTTCTGGGGAAGGGGGTGTTCTCGTTGTCTCTGGTCTTTTGTCCCCCAGCGGCTGCAGCCAAGGCTCTCTGGGTGGGTTAGGAGATGGCCTCCTCGATTGCTTGTACTTTCAGTCATGGGCCCACTGGGTGGAGGGGCCCACTGGGTGGAGGGGCCCACCATTTGGCTGGCATGCATTAGCGGCATGGACAGCACACCCTACGCCAGTGCACCCCAACCTTCAGACACAGCTGCCAACCCACCAGACTCCTTCATGCACCCCAGATGCCGCATCCAGAGAGAGCCACCCAAAACTTCAGGTACAGAATACACTGGGTTTGGACCATTTGTTTGCCCCTGCAGATTTAGAAGTGTGAAAAGGGGGGAAATGCAGTTGTACAAAAGCTATTAATGACCATCTCAGCCTTGGTGGGGAACATTTCATGGGATTACATGCCACTATGCAAAAGGAAGAAAACAACTGAGAACTACATGCAGAGAAAAAGCAACATAATTGTGTAGCTTAGGGATTCTGTTGTCTTGTAGAGAAGAATGCAAAGGGTTCAATATACGTGCACTTAAAAACAGTGTGGTGGTTGAAAAAATCAGTGAAAAAGTTAACTTTTAAAGGTACTTCTATCTCTGATGATGACCATTACAAGGAAAACAAAGTATCTGGGGGAGAGAAATTTGAGGCAAGGAGAGAAAGAGAAACACCAGGAACAAGGAAAGGGAGAGATGGAAAGAGGGAGGTGACAGGAGAGAGGTGGCCTTTGTCAGGAGCTCAGCCGCCCGGCCCCCTTCCTGCTGGGTCCTGTCATTTCTGAGGGCACCTCTGCCTCAGGAGGACAGCGCCCTCTGTTCCCCATTACTCCTCAGAGGAGGGGCCACTCCTACCTCCACATTCATCCACCCAGCCCTTTGCCAGCCTGGTCTCTCCTGCCTACCCTCTCTCCCTGAATCTGACCTTTGACATCTGCCCCATTCTGGGTCTTCGCCCACCTCTGTGGACGATATCCAGGTTTCCATGTTGAAAAACTTTTGCACAACCCTGCCGAGTCCTCTGGGAACACCCCTGCCTTCCTTCTATGACCACGAGTTTTCAATTGGTGCCGTACCCCTGTGGGTTCTGCTGGTTCTTCACCACATACTCCAGCTGCCATCCACACTCACCCAGCAACCTCCAAAGTGTTTTGAAACCTCTTGGTTATCAAACTCATTGACCTTTCCTCAGAGTCTGCTTTTGGGACCTCTCTGGAGCCCTGGGTTGTTCTCCCCCACTTGTTTTCCCTCCCACACCTCAGAACTGTTCTCTGCCTGGCCCTCCCCATTTCCTCTGGTTCCTTCATCAACATCCCTCAGTAGTTGCTGGTCTTTCATCCTTTCGCTGAACCTTTCTTTTACCCCTGGGTCTGGCGTCCTCATCCCCTGCAGGATGCCAGCCGCCGCTTCTCTGCTGGAGACTCTGATGGGCTTTGTAAGCCCCTGCCTCTCCCATGAGACCCAGTTTTATGTGTTCAGCTGTCTACCAGATATTCCCTACGTGATACCCAACCAAATCCTCAAAAATAAATGACCTGAAACCAAATCCTTCATCTCACCTCTGCACTGACTTTTCTCCCCATCTTTCTTCTGTGACCTACAATGTGTCCCCATTGTTCCAGCTGCCTGGACAGGGAGCATTGCTTTGTTTCCCACCCCATTCTTTGTTTCTCACACCAATTAATTAGCCAGTTCCTTGCCATTTCCTCTGCTCTCACACGCCCCACCGCCCTCATGCCCTGCTGCTGAGGGTGGGTTCTCACCATTACCCTCCTCCTTATCCTCTCAGCCCCCACCTGGATGGCCTTCCTCCGATTCAGCATTTCTAAGTGCTGACACTACCCTTCCTGAAACACTCTGGAATTAAATCATTGGTCCTTGGACAACATCAATAATTTTCTTAATCATCTTTTCTGAGTCTCTGTAATCCAGGGTCAACCCTGTTTCCCAAACCTATGTCCCCACTATGACCACCTCAAATGTTCTATTACAGCTGAATCTTACTCCATTCCGAGAACACATCCTCAACACGTTCACGCCTGTGCTCCTTACCGGGCCTCCAGTGGCCACGCCTGCTGTCACCTCGTACCCGCATTCCACCCTCTGGGATCTCAGCTCCCTCTCTGAGAGTCTGCTCAGACTTCACATAAGACATCCCTCCCTTCTGGCACTTACAGCCCCTCCCATGCACTTAGCTCTTAGCAAGCACTGCTGTGTGCTGCTGGCACTCTTTTGTTTAAGAGTGTGACTCAGCTGTCATGTTCCTGAAGCAAAGCCCACTTTCTGGTGCTGAATTAGAACTTCCATCAGCATATCTCATATGTATTAGGGACTAATGGGCAGCAGTTAACTGAACCGATGGGAAGGTGATTCATTTATGTATCAAACTCTTTGTGCCCATCTTGCCCCGGGGAAGGAGGCCAGGTACTGGAAGACATCTCGGCCCTCAGGGAATCGCAGTGAGGTCGCTTCTCTAGTGGCTGTCCATCCTCACAGGTGTTACAGAACCACTCATTATCTGGACTTTCAGTCCCCTGCCCTGTCCCAACTCACTTTAGGATATACCTGCAGCCACAGCTGTCAAATGCAGAACTAACGCAGACCTTCAACCCCACGGTGGCTCCACCCTGGCTGGGAACAGCCCTCTGCCCCCGCCTGCGACATCTCTGTCTCAGCTGCATGCACCGTGGCTCAGATGTTGTGCCTCCCCGCAGTTCTGAAGGGACCCAGGGCCTAACGCTGGCCCCCTGGCTTCCTCATCCTTCACTGACTCTGGCTTCTGAAGCCCAACTCCCCCAATCTGTTAGTGGTTCCCTGGCCTCTATTCCAGGCTCCCACATCCCAGTGCTGCTGTAACCCCTGCTTTCCTTACCCTGGCCTTGGGTTACATCTGGCACTCAGATGACTTTTGGTACCCAAGTCACTCATGCTGGTGGTCTGACCCTCCTTCCTTGTCTTAGTTCTGAAGTTGACCACGATCTGCTCACAATTTCCACTTTTCCTGCCGCAGTCTTGGGGTCTTCCCAGCCTCATTAGCAGTGTCCACATTCCTTTGTATTTTCTGTAAAGACCCCCTTTCCTTGTAAGGGCCTCTCTTGTTTTGTCAGGGAGCCCCAGGAGCAGTTCTGCAAACACCGGGCTGTTTTTCTTCCCCCCGGGAACCCATTTACCTTGGACTCACTCTCTTTCTGACCTATCCCTTAATAAACCACATTTTGACATAGCTCCATTTAAAAACATCAGTGCCGGTTGAGTTTCAAACGCTTGTTTGTGGCCAGGCAGTCTGGCCTCTGGGGTGCATTTTCTCACTGAGAACTTTCTGACCTTTTAAATCACAAATATGACTGCTCTGACAATGCTGTGCACATAAGAGGCACTCAACACACACTGCTACACTCTTACAATGACCTCCCGGGGCTGCAATAATGACAATGGCCAGATAATGGCTCCCTGAAAATTCAGAGAAGGCATTCCCAGGAGAAAGAAGGGAAGTTAGAGGGTCACCCCTGAAAGCAGAGGAAGAGGAGGAGCAGTTTAAATCACCAGCCACCCATGAGTATGTGGAAAAACCCCTTTAAGGAAGATGCCAAGCTCAAAAGAAACCCAAGCAAAAATGCAGGAGGGGAAAGGAATGCAAAGCGGGAGCCAGGAAGCCATGCAGCTTTAACGTAACCAGCGTAACTACTCCTCACCTTCCCTGCAGCAAACACTGCAGAGCTGAGGAGACAGAACAGAGCTGGGAAAGGGACTGACGGCATGAGAAAAACTCAGAAATACCTGTGACAGGTTTGCACTGGGTGCTTTATTAAGCGTCTCCATTTTTTCTAAATCTGCCTCTAACTCTGTTTGGCAGAGGTTGAGATCTTTTTCTAGGTTAGTCTGGTTCAAGAAAGAAAAGATGGGAAAGAACGTTTTAGTTTAGAGGAAAGGCAGAGAGAATGGCAGGTTAAGTTTGAAAAATGAACTTTTTAGTGTTGTATTTCAATAAGGCAGAGGTGGCATGGTTAAAACACAAGAGCTCACTGGAAGTTACGTAAAGCCATGAGGACAGAGAATGCAGCATTAGGCACAGAAAATCTACATCCTGAAATAACCTGAGATTCAAAACTCTATTCTACTTCCTAAAGAGAACTATAAATTCAACAAAAACCTACCTTTAAGGAAATACCTATTTTCTCTCTTTTCAGAGTAGGGTGACTGTGACAAATACTACATGTCAGAAGAGTAAGTCATTGCTTAAAAAAAAAAAAAGCAAACGTCTAACCATTAGTACAAGTCTTAGAGACTGTTAAATAATCACCAAGCCAAAAAAAAGTTATCAATTTAAAGTAAAAGTGATTTAAGGAAATAAAAGAAAACCCCACAGCACACTCACACTAACCAGGCTAGAGAACACACACACAGCCCACGGAGGAGGCGCGAATTACCTTTCTATCCTCTCTAGGAAGGATAGAGCAGTCTCCAGGAGTATAATCCCATATCTTTTTGGGAGGCTGATGGGAAGCAGAGGAGGAAATGAAGAAATGAGCATAAAGACATAAAGACAAACACGGAGACTGGCTCAAACCAAGAGGGGCACACGGGGGAGCTGCCGACACAGAGAGGGGGACCAAAAGCGACGGGGTGGGCCCTGGGTGGGACGCTCGTTTCTAGGTCTCTGTCTCAAGAGTAAATCTTTGTTGGAGTCCAAATATTGAAAACTTAAAAGAAGACACAAAGAAAAATAAATAAATAAAAGCATTAACACTAACTTACACTGAAACAGAAACTTTAAAATTCCTTTTTGTTCCTTTCGAACTGAGATTGACACTGAGATCGACACTGAGCTCCCACATTTCCGAACCACTCTTCTCCACTGTAAACTCCATGCTTTGGTAATAAACGTGTGAATTTGGAGATCTAGCCAGTGGAGGATAAACTGCACTGCATGCATTGTGTGTGCTTGGTGGCAACGATACCCACACATACAAGGGGTGTCGAATTTTGCGCTATGTATCTAGACAATTTTTAAAATCTTTCACTGTTTACTCAACTTTGTTAACATGCTAGTGGCAGAGCCGTGCCTTCCATATGCCTCAGAGAACAGAGTTTATACCATGAATTTAAATAGCGAACTGTAAGGTTATCTTTGTTTTTCTCCTTTAACTCTTCAAGATAGAATTGGGTGCATTCCTACAACAGAAATCTGCCAGAATTGCTGTAAATTTAGTGAGGGAGGGGTTCGAAGGGTAGGACACGTGGAAGTTACGAGCCAATTCTAATTCTCCTCCTCCCCCGTCCATCTTGCATGGCCTATTTAGACTTGAAATTTCCTAAACAGTGACCTCAGAGGCGATGGGATCATTAATAGCTCCTGGAATTTTGTGAAAATTTCATTATAACCAACTATGGAAACATTCAAATTGGTTTACATTGTGACATTTTGCCCTGAGCTTACTTATAAAAATCACATCAATTTCTGTAGAAATTAGGGGGGCGGGGAGGCTAGCACTCTGGCTCTTTGTAATGAATTTGCAAATGAAAAGTAATCTGATTTCAAGGTGCATTCACCACTGACAGCACCAGGCCAGTGATGTGACCTCTGAGTCTATAAAGTGCTGTTAACAACCGTCATTCTTCTTCAAGCACTTTGTACACATCACAGATGGTTCACATGGGGAAGCAGATGTTCTAAAGCCACTGATGGCATTCCTACTCATTTCTTTACTGGGGAAAAAAAGACAGTGCTTACAAATTAAATTGGTTTTAAATAACCTTCCCCAAAATGGTCCCTGGTGTCTTGAATGATTTGATACTCTACAACAACCTATTGGAGCTAAAAGGTATTACAGCCAGGATCTTGCTAAAATTTCAGCTTGTTCGAGGTGGCTTTCAGTGAAGGAGATGAAGAGGCAGGGAGGCTAGGGTGAATGTCTAGTGTCTAAGTTCTGGCAGGCTCTCCTGTCTCAGGGGAGAAGGGTCCTGCGCTGGTAGGAAATAAACAGTGGAAAGGATGATCCACAGGCGTTGGTAGGAGTTTTAATTTCACTCTGCTTCTGAATGACTGAAAACATTCTAAAACAACTTTCATGGTTTATGCCACTTTTTATTTATGTCTCTTACCCTTTTATGGCCCACAGTGCCCGGGACAGGAGAGAAGTCAAAAGAAGAACAATGTTCTCCCTACCACACCTTCTCACCAAATGCTGGGAGTAACGTCCAGTCATTCGACTTGGTTCAACTAGGAACAAGTCAACCCCTAGAATGCCTTAGGCTGTAGGGAATCGTTCACTGCAACACAACACTGCTCCTCAGGATAGACATTATGTTATTTTGGTAAGTCTTCAAAGCATTATCTTTTATTACTTTAAAAGACTGACAGAGAGGAGGGTGAGAGGTAGAGGAGGCCTACTATATGGTGGCAGAAGATGGTTTGACTTTGGGTGGTAGGAACACAGTGCAATATACCGATCTACTACCATAGAAATGTGTGTTTGAAACCCATTTGACCCTGTATTAACTAATGTCACCCCAGTAAATTTAATAAAAATTTCAAAGACTATGAAAGACCTACACAAAAAAGTAGCAGTCCCATTTAAGAAGGACTCTGAGGTTTATGCCAGCAATACTCATGGCTTTAGAAAAAGTGTCATTTCTGGAAAAGCACTCTTTAAATCATGAAGAGGCAGTTAGAACAATAGGGGAGGGATACAAATTACGGTGAGGCCCCGATGTCCAGATGGGCTGTGTTCCCAACATTTGTGTGGATTGGCTGTGTGGTGTTCAGACCAGTTTCCAGTAGAAACAGTATTAACTTACTAAGCTCTCCACTGAGCCTATTTAATGTATGCTGGGACTGAAGTACTGCCTACTGCTGACAAAAATAGAATTATTTGCAATGACAGATTTAGTAAAACAAGCCAATCACAATTCATTAGAAAAAACTGTGTCATAATGTTTCCTAAAAGCTAATATTTAAGATAGAACTAATTTAGTTACTTGGCCAATGAGGACACAGCTAGAAACTGTGGATTCTGAACAGGACTTGAAAAATCAATGGCACAAACTTTTGCTTATACATAATTTAAAGCTAATAGCTTTTGTTCTCCTGATGGAAATTTAGAATTATTGTATATACCAATCTTGGTCTTTTGGGGGGAAGAGGGGAGGAACTATATATCAAAAGGTTTTTCTGAGATATTTGAACAGGTTTTAAGAAAAAGAAGAAAAGGAGAAGGGTTAGAATACTATTAAATATTTGCATGTGGAAAAGATTGCCTGAGGTCGACCCCATGGATGTCTGAAAGGCAGACAGCAGAGAAAAAAGGGAGAGAAAGGAGGAGTGAGGTGTGCATCAAACTTTGGGAAGGGGGAGTTGGTGCACTCTTTGGGTTAGACGCTTCCCTGTCCACGGATCACTAGGTGGCGCTGTTCCCCCAGGACAGCTTAGCTGCCATTATTAGGACACAGTGTCTAAGGAGGGGGCCAGGTGGGAGGAATGTCTGTTGCTACAGGCAGGAGGTTTGCAAGTTAGGTGCTTCTAACTCAGAATGCGTGAACTTTGAAACAAAGCTCAGCATTGCTAAATCAGTTTAGTAGTTCCAGACACCAGTTTAATTTGCCTTTGCCTTCATCTTAACAAAAATACACACCATGGAATTTAACATTTTACTAAACTGTAAAGTTAATTCCTGCCTGAAGATAAAACTTTCATACCAAACCACAGTAATTCAAATACTGGATTCAATGCTTAAAGTCTCATACAAACATCTAATAAAAATATTCTATTTTTATTCATTTAATCCTTCTACCTGTAAATTCTTTTTCCAGATGTAATAATTAAGATGTAAAGTAACTGGAATTTTAAAGTCAGTTTCCAGTCATTTCCAGTGGAAAAACGAGCTCAATTCTCCCTTCTGTTTGATACTAAGAAAATCCTCCTTTAATGGCCAAAAATCAATATTGACCAAAGCCAACTCAGACACACCAGGGGGAGGCTGCAGAATATTATTAAGCTGAACACTAAATTTGCTAGAATTCCTAGCTTTAATTTCAAATTTTGGGAACTATTATCCTAACTCACAGAGATCACTCCCTAAAAGTTGCCTGAAATGGGGTCGTATTAGCGGGTCAGATCTGCACGGAGAGACCTTTGTGGCTGGCTTTGGCACTTGCACCTGTGCCTTTAAAAGTTCGATCTAACACGTGACAGTGCTGGTCTGCTCAGTGGGCAATGCATGTTCCTGCTTGCCTTCAGGATGCCAAGAAGACTTTGGTCAAAGAACTAAACCAACAGCCAATACAATGCCATCCACAGGCAGGTGATATTTGTTGCTAGTGGTGGGAGGTCCTAAGACAAGCAAGGATTTAGTCGTGTTTCTCTGGGATCTCTGGCAAGAAATACTTGCAGGTACAGTCCTTTCTTGATCAAGTTAAGCAATGGAAAGCTTACAGCTTGTGGTGAGCGTAGACAGCCCCACCAGGGACAACCGACATGGTGCTCTCCACTCCCTGAATTCCTTACAAATAGATTTGATTCTTTAGTAGGGACAATGCATCAACAGCATTATTTTCAAAAATGTCTATAACCACTGAGGCTATTAAACTTACCGGTTTCCCAAACTCCAATTCCGAAAAGAATTTATACCAAGGTTCATTCTTTAAATCTATCTCTTCTGGGCTTATATCCCGACTCTATAGGGGTTGGTGATAGGGAAATGAAAGAGAGAGAAGGATAACATTATGCAAAGATTACATAGGAACAGGCCAGTAGAGATGCAGTGGATTCCAGTTATACGCAGCAACTGCGTTCAACAGCAGCGATCATCCATTTTTGCTGACATTGGCAAAATCACGGAGCTAAAACAGGCAGGGAAGGATGGGGACATTAAGCTAGGGAGCAGGGAGCGAATCCCTCTCAGTCCTAAGGCAGAAGACAGATGGACTGCTGATGGAGAACTCCGCACCACACTGCTGCCCTGCACAACAAATATGAATATGACTGTAACAGTAGTCCCACACTGTGGGGGGAAAGAAAGCCCTTATTTCCCCCTCATAAAGAACTATCAGTTATGAGCAGATAACCTGGTAAGCACATCAAACATTTAGCCATTTACGCCAGGTGAGTAGAGCAAACAATTTTTACAGCCTAGTACAGATTTAGTACTTATTTGCAAGGCTGCCTTAAGGTTTTCAAAATAAATGCAAATACTGACACTTTTATAAAAGCCAATTTGTTAATACTGCATCTTTAATGGCACATGAGTAGGTGAGAAACCATGTCCCATACACAGTAAAGTGAAAGATGATATAAGTAAAAACAGAAGACACAAGTGAAAAAACATTTTAAACAAGCATCCGTGGGGGATGAATACAGACAGGATATACTTTATGTTCTAACAAATAAATGTTAAAGGACTGGGAGAAACTAAAGGGAGGGAGAAGCTGAACAAGACGGATAACAGAACAACAGAGGTGGAGACTTCTGGGTCATGTTACAAAAATAGGTTAGATTTCTCACTTATAGAACTCTAAGAGGTAGTTCACACAGACTGATCATTGATTCCCTGGGATTTCATATTTAATCAGATATTTATAAAGTTCCAGTACCTTTCTCTGTGGAATAACATGTGCTTCTGGAAATAATTAGTTAAAAATGAACACCTGGAAAGCAAACCAAGTTTCCCCTAAATAAACTGGAGATGTGCTCACCGCAGACAAAACTGTTAGAGGCTCATGGCTGAATTAAATTCATACATGTGTGTGTTTCAAAAAAACCTTGATAGTCACAGGAGAGATGGCAATTTTCTGGAAATAATATAAAATGTACATGTTCCACCGAGATTAAAAGCAATGCGTAGGAAACTTCACTCCCTCGGGGCTCCACCCCCCGAGGATGGGGCTGCTGTCCTGTGGCCACGTCTTCAAGTCTTCACCGTGACCGCTTCCCAAGCAGCTGCTCCTGGTCCTGTTTTTCTTCACGTGCCATTAATGGGCCTTTTGCAGCTGGTAGAAGTGGCTGTAAACTTTCTCAGTGACCTTCACCAATCGCTTCTTCTAAATCCTTACAAGAATCTTCACCGTTATTTCTACTTTTGTTTAAATCAAGGAAAATATGGCAGAGAACCTTCCTGAACTGAAATTCACTGAATATAAATTGAACTCAGCAGGATAAATGTCCAGATTAAAAGCTCCCCCCATTGTCTTTAGGGACTTGGGGCTTAAACCTTGAGGCAGAAGTCATGCTCCCTGGCAAGGGGCTCTGCAATTATGTAAAATAATGGATTCTGCATTTATTCAGTGAAATGAGGCCCAGTACCTTCAAGGTCACAACTAGTTGGGGAAAAACAGTTTAGACATTGGGATATCCTGAATCCTAATGTGATGGGATTTCATGAAACCTGTTTCATGTTTATTATTTTTAGAGACTATTTATAAGCTGCTTTCTGTGAATGAATAGTTTAGGCTTTTAAAAAAATTATTAAAATGTACCAACTCCTTCAGGAAACTGCCTGAATGCTTTGGTATGCAGACCTGAAAGAATGAACCCACTTTATCGCCAAAGGTTGTCTGCAGAGCGTTTCACTGCCGAGGTTAACACTGGGCTGAGAACTGAATCAGGGGGGATGTCGAGCTACGTGGGCCCAGAGCTGCTGGCCTCAGGCCTTCGAGCTCCCCAAGAGAACGTTAAAGAGGTAACACCACAAGGCGCTAAAATCTGTGCTTGATTTTGTCATTTACATCTCAGCTGTTGCTCCTGTCGTAGAACGGACTAACAGCCAGGATGGATGTGCAGACGCACACCAGGACCTGGGGACTGGCAGGCGGGGCCAGCTCCACAGCACCTGGCTGCATTCTCTGCTGCCAGGGGCTCTTCTTTTCCCAGCTTGGCAAAATCCTTTGAAAGGGCAGGGGCCTTGTCAGGAAAATGCCTGATGCTCCTCAAGGACAGTTTTGCTGCTTGAATAGGAGCCAGAGACTAGCTTCAGATTTTAATTAAATAATAATCTGAATGCGGTGCGTTCACTGGCACAGCACCTTATAACACTCATGGCTCTTTTGGCTTCACTGTTGCACTCGATCCTCTCACTCACAACCTCAGTGAGGTCGGCAGGACAGATAATGCTTCTGGTTCCCAGATGAAAACACTGAGGATCAGAAAGGTTGAAGGACTTGCCTCAAGACAGAGGGCAGACCCGGAATCTGAACTCAGATCCTCCGAGTCCTAGCCCAGTGCTCTTCACACCACGTTCCACTTCCCACGCTCCTATGACAAGGGGGCAGGGCCACTAGGTTTGCAGGTGATACCAGGCTAAAACAGGGCCAAGGGACAGACTTGAAATGCCAGTTAGGAACTCAAGTGACTGTGAACTGGGAAGAAACCAAGCTGGGTAAATCCCCTTGCTTTACTCTTCAGATACATGTTGTATATCTTACTACCTTAGTGTCTGCCCTTCCCACTACTGCCCCACGGGAGCAGGGACCCCTCCATCTAACCCAGGGCCTGGCATATAAAAGTTATTCTATCTATATTTGTTGAGTTGAGCTGGAAATCTGTAAGGGAACTTGGAGGAAAGTAAGAGGAACAAAGCCTAAAAGAGGGTATTTCTGACAATGATCTCCAATGTCAAGGCCATGGAGAAGAAAATGGATTCACGCTATGGCAAGACAGGCCAAGTTGTTATGAAGAACTTCATATGGTTTTGCCAAGGAGCTGAATAGGTCACCCAGGCCGTAAATCTCCTGTTAGGGTGTTTGGAGGTAGCATGGTGTTTTCTCTCTCTGGGATGGTTTGCATTCGCACCAGGTGAGCTCTAGGGCAGGCCTCACGGCCCACCGCTCAACCCTTCTGCAGACAGGTGCGCCAGTGAGGTCGCAATTTACATCGCCAGGCTTACACAGACATGGGTACCTCAAACTGGAAATAAAAGCATTGTTTGTCCCCCAAATAACTGTGTATTTCTGAAAGTAAATTTAGATTCTACATTTGTCGCTAGTTAGTATATACTTATCCATCGTTAACTGTGCGTGTGTGTGTGCGTGTGTGTGTGCGCGTGCGCGCGCATTTGTGTGTCCTCCCAGTTTGGCAAAGCAGACACTGGACATCAAAGGCAAGACTCAGACCCTGAAACTCACGTTCCAACTTTTCTGTTCAAAGTTAACAGGAAAAAAACCAAACACAAAGGACTAATTCAACTATTATGAAGACTAGATGGAAAAGATGGAGATGTGACTGAAATTTCTCTCCGAAATGAAAAGCGCCCCTTTGGAAGAAGAGTGCTGAACAGAGTGAAGGCCCTTCGATGCAAGGTGACGGACCCCTTCGGTGTTCGTGTCCCCCGCCTGGCTCGCCCGAGGGCGCTTTGCCACCAGGCGCCTGGCCACGACAGCTCTCCCAGGAGAGGCCCTGTCAGGTACTACGTGTTCCTCTTCTGGGTTTGTAAAAACAATACAAATGATCCCAAGGAATGATATGGAAGATATTTGGTATCAAGGAGAAAAATAAAACGATATGGGTGTTTTTTTGCCCTAGTTCTGAATAGTGATGAAATTAATAGGAACCAAGGAAAGGAGAGGAAAATAGAGGAGAAATGAAGATGTCTGGGATACACCCAAAGCATGACTTTCTTTCCAGGAACATCTATGTGGAAGGCTGTGTTTTGTGTTTATTGTCTTCTAACAGGGAGAGAACCTCCAATGAAGGGTGGAGTCAGAGGCAAAATTCTCTGCTCCTCTCTGAACGTTTTGCTTAAAATAACTGTGGTGCACTGAGAATGCTGAAGAATGACAGCTCTAAAGCATTTCTGCAAACTGCTTTATCCTAATTAAAATTACTCATCCCTTGGTGCTTTTAAAGATGTCACATTTTTATTTTAGTAAAAGTCAAATCAATTACTCCTTAAAAACATGCAGAGCAGGAGAGGCAGAGGGGAAATAATTTGCACCCGTATTTCAGAGGCTTACTTATTCTGTACTCAGTGTGGTACCAGCATTTTAATAAAATCCAGTTCCCAGTAAGATCACTCCATCCTGCTGGCGCGGCTGGAGGGCTGCGAGGTTACGGAGCTTTGGAGAATCCCTTTAACCGTGATCAGAATCCTCAATCAGCTAGTCTCAAATAAAGGGTGAATAAAAGGAAGTGTGATTGGCAGGCAGGGAACTAATGGGTTTGTAAAAATTCTTCCCCATGTACAGCAGAAGCCGCTTGTCCAGGGTGGTCTGCTCTGCCCTGCAGGCCATTCCCCCAACTTGTAATTGCCTGGAGATGTGAACTTGCGTAGGGAACCACAGACCAGACTGAACACGAAATTCTTCCTCAATATTGCATTTGTCAGACAAGGAAGACCTAAAACACATTTTTTTTAACAGCTAGGGGTTTCCCCCACACCAAATCACATGTTAATTATTTAGCTTTTAATGATGAACTAGTAGTAACTTCTACTACATGTATGCATGTTCAAAGAAGAGTCACTTTAAAAAAACCCAAATTTAGTCCAGTTAGTAATAAGCCTGCTGAATTAATGGTTAGATGTTTAAAAAAAGACAGCAGCAAAATCAATCTTTACGTTAGTAGAAAATTTGAAATTATTAAAGCCATGCACACAAAGCGCCGGAAAGCCACAGCAAGAAGGTTCTTTCACAGAGGACTTGTTTTATGAACACCTGCAAAAGTGAAAAGGGTAAAAATACTTCATTGATTCATTGTCTTCCAAACAAAGCAAGTCTATCTCAAGGGAGAAAGAACGCCATCCAAGTGCACAATGCCTCCGGATCAGAGAACAGGGGCAGGGTGAGACAAGAGAACTGCAATATGCACATTACCATCTTTTCGTTGGTCAGAACGGAGGACTTGCCCGGCTGATACTCGTAAATGCTTTTGGGCTCTGCACGGTATTTTCTTGTATCCACTTTCTTATCTGGGGGCTCCCAGTCGTTTCTGCAGAGAGAAAATCCTATTAGAACTATTTTCACGAAAATTGGCATCCCACATGTTCTGACATTGGCTGACTGTAGTCTAGCCAAGGAATTTTTATATCCGAAGCATAAAATCGGACTTGGTGCAAAGCGTTCAGTTGTGCTGGTTCCCTTCTCAGTATAATAGTTAAATCTCTGCATTTGCTTCACAAAAGGCTTGAGGTGTCCTGAGCTCAAAATCAGGTCCTAGAAAGCAGAGAGAAGAGAAAGGAGGGAAGCAGCAGCAGCAAAGCTTTCTCTAAAAGAATTCTTCACCTTGCTCTGCTCTCCTGAGCCTATCATTCCCCAAACATGCCTGTACCTCCCACTCCTGCCAGTGCGGGGAGAGAGAATGTACGTGGCAGAGCCAGTGGGTGGTGGTTGTAATCCCTGCAATATACTTGCTACCTGGTGACCCAGGCTGAGCACCTTACCTCTTGCTACCTTAGTTTCCTCATCTGAAAAATGACTCCATTTGCAAGGATTAAACAAGACAGTGCATGTAAATTACGAGGTCCACAGAAACCACTCAATAAATGTTATTTGCTATTACAGTCCTGTTCTTTCCTCTTCCATGCTCTACCCTCTATAATCACCAAAATCGCAGCCTTTGGCACAGATACTTAACCTCATCCAGTGGTGGGTTTCAGGGATACATGAATCCTTGGAAACTGCAAAATTTTTATGCATGTACATTATTGCATTTACACTGTGATTATATTTAGTTGTCCCTGAAAGGCTATAAAACTCTGAAAGGCAAGGACAATGATTTATGTGTGCTTTTATTCCCACACAGCTTCCGGTTCCATCAGCACACAGAATGCACCCAGTTTGATGGATGCACTTGAAAAGGATCTATAGGTATACCCAGCATTCCTTTCAAATTAATTAGCAAACTCCTCAGCCAGATGCAATTTACACATGAGTGAGACTTTCGAAACAGCTATTCATTTGTCTGTGAAGATGGAAGAGGCATGAAGGTGTGAAACTGAGTATGTCTTTTAGGGAAAAATAATTCAGTTTGGGTAGAACCTTTTTGTGTGTGTTGAGAAGTGGTGGAAGGTGCATGGGACACCGGTCCAGATGGCATAAGGAGGTCGCTCCGGGAGACCTGAGAACCCAGTGCAAGGACATTGGGTCATCCTGGGCAGGTGTTAAGAGATGACCATCATCATCATTATGACCACTCCAAGCCTCATGTCTGAATAATGTGTACCACAGAAATAAATTGACGTTAAAAATTGTGGCTTCATAATAAAATTATAGTCTCTGCTATGGGCTCCATTAGTAAATGCAAAGAGTATAAAAACACATGACACATCCTACAGCTAAAATTTCTCTTGGGAAAAGGAAAAAAGTGATCATAGTTATAGTCAACGTTAATGAAGCCCATACTATGAGCCAGGGACTGCTGGAAATGTTACATCATTATCTTGTTTTGTCCTTGCAACATCCCTAACAAATGTAAAATGCATTCCCATTTTACAGATAAGAACACTGAAACTCAGAAAGAATAAGTCACTGACTTCTAATACATAACAGAGTAGGGATTCAAAACCAGGTCTGCTTGACTCCGGGCTCCAAGGCCACCAGCCCAGCAAACAGACGAATGGGATGGGACTGGTAGACTGTGCATGAGCATCTGAAGTCACAGAGCTGACTGCAGAACGGGGGAGGGAGAGGACTCACCTTTCTGGGCTTGATTTGAGTGAGGAAGAGCGGGCCGGGAGGGGAAGTGTGGCTGACCTCTTAACTACCTTCTCACCATCGATGTAGTTCATCTCACTTTTTGAGCGAGGCACAGAAAGGGGAGATTTGGCTGGAGAAGGAAAGTGGGTACAAACGACTTAAAACGGATGAAAACTGAAAACAAGAAGATGTCTTCCCTTATCCAACACGCCTCCCCCACTTCCTCCTCCACACCCAGTATATTCTAAGTCACTTACTGTCTTCAGAAAAGGAGTAGCGAGGAGAGTACAGATCTGAATCATCATCTATTGAACAAAACAGAATGCAATCAGGAGAAGTCTGGCTAAGGTAGGGGAATGAGCGACTTGTCCCCCACGCCCACCGTCCTGTGCTGGCCTCCTGCCACACCTGAGGGCCCACCGGGAGGGAGGGAGCAAAGCTAGAAGCTACACCACAGTAAACCACACTGGAGAGGAGTCAGTCTGTAGAGCCCACCCACCCAAACAGAACCTGCAGTCTGGAAGGTACATTCACATTGCCTGGAAGATGACTGCAGCCTAACTCTAAGAAAAGCATGGGCACAAGCAGCCAAAGGTCCTCCTCAAGAGAATTCCCACAAGCATAGCTGGAACACGGGGGTCCCCATCCTGGCTAAGCTGGAATCAGGAGCCGAGACAGATCCCTGATGCTCACCCCAAGTCTCTGGTCTATCCTGTGGAGTTCCCTGGAGTCCCCGAAGTTCTGCTACTGGGTGGGATGGGGTGGGGGAGATGTGCGTTCTAGCTCCCCACCTCGGCTGTGACCTGTTTTATACACTAAGGTTCCCTAAACAATATCATTGACCAAGCAGGTTCTGCAGCTAAGAAAACAGTTTGAGAAAACCCTGATATTCATGCTTCGACTCCACCCCAACCAGGTTCCTTGAGTGGCTCTTTCCTCGGGACACGCACAGGCATGGCAGGTGCGGTTACATGGTTTGCTCTGCAAACGTCCTGCTCGGGGTAAGTGTCTACTCTGTGACACTGGGACAAATGAAACCCACAGGGTTCCTGTGCTGTGAGATGGCCCTCCATGGGCCTGACACACAATGCCCCCTCAGGGGGCACTGAGATACGATCCCAGCCCCTCATGGAAGTGGCTGCACTGCACCAAGGTTGAGACCACAGGTGCGTTTATAGGAACAGATCTCAAAATTGGGAGTGTCCTGAAAATTTGGGATGTCTAGTCACTATACCCTGGATAGTCCCTCCAGAGTGTTAGGGTGAAACAGCCAGCCTTTCCCATTTTCTAATACCTTGCCAACCCAAGTTCAGAGTTCATTCATGTGGAATGAAGACCCAATACCTTCCCTTAAAAATCTGTAGTGACTTTAACAAAACACATGAACTCACCTAAAAAGACAAGCCAAAGGATCCAATACATGTTAGTGACTAAGTGTTAATTAAGTCCTTGTGTCTATAGAAATCATTTTTAGTTTCATAGCAGTAAAGGTCAGAATATTTTGTGAAATGTAAATAAAGCTAACACTGCTATTATTGTTGAGTAAATATTAATCAAAGATGGCCTGTCTATCACCCCTTCTTACTCCCTTCTTTTCTCCACATTTTTATCTGCCCCAAGTTTCCCCCAGCCTGAATACAGAGAAGTCTTCAGGTTCCAAGTTATTTTTCCCTCCCTCCCCACTCCCTCTCTTTGCTTTAAGGGTGGGAGTAATTGACATTGGCGCTGACCAGGGCTTAAGGTTCTTCTAACCAACACAGCCAAGTCTTTCTCTGCCATAAATTGAGTATGCAAGCTCATTTAACATCTGGAAACAGGGCAGAAGAGATAACACAGGATCCGGAAGTATGTATTTTGCAGTACTGTCGGAAGAATTTTGTATTGTCTGTTTTGTTTTAAACAGAACTTCTGATTATTGTACTGATAAAATGCTGCAATGTGAAAGACAATTAAAAATCAACTTTGATTGCAGGAATTTGATTGGAAAAATATTGGCCATCAAATAAAAAATTAGCTTAGTTGGAAACCAATGTATGTCGTGCTTAAAACCCAGCCTAGTGTTTTAGCTAACAACCCTGTATCTGTCTGAGCTGTGGAGAAATGCAGTTTATCTGTAGGTGGTAAGGTGAAGATTAATTTCTGTTACCTGTCGTTGAGGTACAAAGCAAATGGTGAAGGAAAAGGCATTTAAATATTCAAAGAATTTTTTTAAAGCCTGAGCTCTTTAAAAAAATTTTTCCTTCTAGAGTTTTCTAATGTGGATTTCTAGAAGATTTGTTAAAAGAAAATGAGACATATGTCTTGTAAGATGAAAAAAATAGCTTCAAGTGTTAAACAATTTATGTATTTTGAAACCCAGAAGTAGGAAGGATGGGTGGGCGCAGTGAAGACAACAGAGAAAATGACTAAATGTTCTTTTTTTGAAAAATCCTCACTCGAGGATACGTTTTTATTGATTTTAGAGAGAAAGAAAGAGAGGGAGGGAGGGGGGGAGAGAGAGAGGGAGAGAGGGAGAGAGAGAGAGAGATAGAGATAGAGAGAGAGAGAGAGAGAGAGAGAGAGAGAGAGAGAGGGAGAGAGGAACATTGATAGGTTGCCTCCTGTACATACTCCAGCTGGGAATTGAACCCACAACCTACTGGTGTACAGGATGATGCTCCAAACAACTGAGACACCTGGCTAGGGCTGACTAAATGTTCCTGAAGTTCTTTCTTACTTGGTGTAGTTGGAAAAGGAAACCTCACCAATCAAGGCTAACACAGGGCAGGGGCATCTCAGAGGGAACAAGGTTTGCATTTCTCACCCAGTGTCCACGGCATCTGAGTCTGACATGTGGATTTCAGGTCATCAAACTTTGAAGACGGCAAACTGAACTTGTATGGATTCATGTGAACAGCCAGGTATATATAATTTATTCTTTGAATTTATGTTTGTGTTGCAAACCTCATGGAAGAAAACTTTACCTGTACTTTTGAATAAAAATAATAGCAGCCCCCATTATTAAGTGCCTAATAGTAGCTGGTAATTTACTAATATCATCTCACTTAATCTTTGCCAAAACTGTAGGGACAAATATCTTATTTTACAGATAAGAAAATTAAGGGCCAGAGAGGTTAAGGAAATTTGCCTGTAGCTCACAGTACACAACAAAATGGGAATGAAATCAAGGTCTTTCTGACTCCTCTTCCCTATGCTGCCTCTAAGCCCCATGACAGGGATGGGTGCTTTGTTCTATGGGTCACACAACCCTAGCTGCCCAATTCCGGGGAGGGGATGTGGCTATTCCACTATAATTTATGTTATGCAAGAGACAAGGGTTGGGGAGTGTTGTTCTGAAACTCAAGTCATGCACTGCAGTGTTGGCCCGGCTGCCTACCAACCCTTGAGGCCTTTGGTCTGCTTTTCTGCCACCCCCTCCTTGGTGACGCTTAAGCAAGGTTTCTGTTGCCCCATCACACTTCTAGTTTTCCTCCTGCTGGCCTCCAGGGACAATGGGTAAAATTGAGTCACTCTTGCTATATCTTCCATTTGCTGCTCCTTGCTCTCCACTGCCGGCAGGCTAGTCTATGCTGGGGTAAATGGGTATGAAGTTAGAAATACCAGTGAATGGGAAAACTGGGGTAAAGGTACCCGCCTATATTTCTACATACTAGAGTTAGCCAAATGGAGTGTGTGTGCATGTGTGTGTGTGATAGAGAGAGAGAGAGAGAGACAGAGAGAGAGAATTTAACCATAGTGAAGACACACTCAATAAAACACTTCTCAAGCTGTCCATGAACACAGACATTGCCAGTGTCTGAAATCCTGCCTTTACTCTTTTCCCAGGGCTTTTTAAAAACACTGCCAGAGTGGGCTCTGCTGAGCCAGGATCCTGTGATTCTCGCTCATGGTGGAGCCACATGCTGACTGTGCCCCTCAAAACAGCAAACGTCAAACCTTGGCAGCAACACTCAGAACTTCCTGTGCCAGTGCCTTCCAGGAAGCTCTGACTGTAAGCAGGATTTACTCAGGGTGAACAGCTCACTTCAGGGCCTGAAGGACCCTGCTGGGCTCTGGTGTCCACGCGCCAATGATTACACTCTGCGCTTTGGCAATGTGTCCTGGGAGGCGCGTTTGGGAACAGCTACTCTCTCAAAACTGCCAGGAGGCACACAATTGCCTTTTCAACCACAGTGACTTGAAAAATTAAGTTCTAATAAAAGACTTTTCTTTTTTTTTTTTGTAGAATTAATGACAATCTTAAAGACATTAGAAAAGGTGCTGGTTGAAAATGATTGTTCTATAAAAAATATCTAATTGTATTGTTCTATTAAAAGTATGGGATGATAGGCAAAGAGCAGTATTTGCATAATAACTCGCCTATTATCAATTACATTTCAACTTTATGCATTTCCTAGGCCTTGAGGATTCAAACTATTTTTCAATATCAATGGCTTGTTTTTAACACAATCTTTTTCCACTGTTCAAATTAATTCCTTCTGCTTTATCCCACACACTTAGGAAGAGAAAGGATAAATGGGTCAAGATAAGGACACACACCACAAACAAAAATATTCAAAGAAAAAGGCATACGCAGAGGTGGGTACACAAAATCTGGGCTGGACGGAAGAGGAAGAATTTACAAAAGAGGAAACAGGGTCAGGTGGTCAGGAATAGTCCAGGGAGCTTGCAATAAGATTCCTAAAGCTGTCTATGTTCTGGTAAAAGACAATCAAATTTTAAGGGATGAAAAAAAGATCCGTAGAGGCTATAGAGTAGCTATGGAAGACAAATTCAGAAAAAAGCAGATCTGAAGGAGAAGAGAATGAGGTGGAGCAGAAAAGGAGTGAAAGGAGTAAAAGCTGGAAAGGGACTCACCGACCTCATCGCCTGCAGCATCCCCGGCCGTGAAGGTGGGAAGCGAGTGACTGCTAAGGCCTCAACTAGCTGCAGGCCCGCAAAGACGTGCACACTTGCTAGGCAGAGACCTTCTGGGCGGCCCCAGTCAGGAGAGCAAAGGTGACCGCTGTGAGCAGCTCAGCCCCTCCTCTGGGCAGTACTAGCTGGAGTTTGGGGCAGGAGGCACAGATCCTGGCCAGGCATCTTCACAATAGAGCGATTTGCTTGGACTCAAGCAAAATAAGGCTATTCTTAGAAATCCTGTAAGGCCAGTAGGGGATTCTTTTAACTCAAATATAGATGTGCCTGGGAAAATCAGCCTCCTAAATTCTTGCCATGGTGCATCCTCATCGAGAAATAAGGAAAACGTGCAATGAGACAGACCAATGGACATGATGCATCTCCACAGCCCGGGGATGTCTTGGGG